AGTCAAAACAAAATGAGAAGAGATAGCTCTGACCTTCGCTGCCACAACTAATGCCCTACCTCCTTCCCTGCCAATGGACAAGAGGAATACGAGTTTAAAGGTCATCTGCTATTCTAACAACGAAAATTAAATCAAAGCTAACTGTAAAAAAATATCATAATACTATTCCTTTCATTCGGCTGAATGAAACAATGATATGGCATTTTCACCTATTGTCCCTGAATCATGTGCTAGCATACTGTATTTTTCTAATCAGATATTTGCTGGAAATTCAATACCACCAATATAATACTGTCTGGTGTATCAGAACTTTTTTTTTCATTAAATTATTGATTGTTGAGCAACATGCCTTGAAAGTCACTCAGGATTCCACTGTGAAGAGGAGGTCATGACGATGTTTTAGGCATAACAAAGATCCCACAGGACTATTTCCATAATAAACAGATTATATATATATATATATAAATAAACACACACACACACACAGTACCAGTCAAATGTTTGGACACACCTACTCATTCAAGGGTTTTTCTTTATTTTTACTATTTTCTACAGTGTAGAATAAAAGTGAAGACATAACTATGAAATAACACATATGGAATCATGTAGCAACCAAAAAAGTGTTAAACAAATCAAAATATATTTTATATTTGAGATCCTTCAAATAGCCAGCCTTGATGACAGCATTGCACACTTTTGGCATTCTCTCAACCAGCTTCACCTGGAATGCTTTTCCAACAGTCTTGAAGGAGTTCCCACATATGCTGAGCACTTGTTGGCTGCTTTTCCTTCACTCTGCGGTCCGACTCATCCCAAAACATCTCAATTTAGCTGAGGTCGGGAGATTGTGGAGGCTGGGTCATCTGATGCAGCACTCCATCACTCTCCTTCTTGGTAAAATAACCCTTACACAGCCTGGAGGTGTGTTGGGTCATTGTACAGTTGAAAAACAAATGATAGTCCCACTAAGCCCAAACCAGATGGGATGGCGTATCGCTGCAGAATGCTGTGGTAGCCATGCTGGTGCCTTGAATTCTAAATAAATCACAGACAGTGTCACCAGCAAAGCACCCCCACACCAGAACACCTTCTCCTCCATGCTTTACGGTGGAAAATACACATGCGGAGATCATCCGTTCACCCACACCGCGTCTCAGAAAGACACGCCGGTTGGAACCAAAAAATCTCAAATTTGGACTCCAGACCAAAGGACACATTTCCACTGGCCTAATGTCCATTGCTCGTGTTTCTTGGCCCAAGCAAGTCTCTTCTTATTATTGGTGTCCTTTAGTAGTGGTTTCTTTAAAGCAATTCGACCATGAAGGCCTGATTCACACAGTCTCCTCTGAACAGTTGATGTTGAGATGTGTCTGTTACTTGAACTCTGAAGCATTTATTTGGGCTGCAATTTCTGAGGCTGGTAACTCTAATGAACTTATCCTCTGCAGCAGAGGTAACTCTGGGTCTTCCATTCCTGTGGCGGTCCTCATGAGAGCCAGTTTCATCATAGCGCTTGATGGTTTTTGCAACTGCACTTGAAGAAACTTCCAAAGTTCTTGACATTTTCCGGATTGACTGACCTACATGTCTTAAAGTAATGATGAACTGACATTTCTCTTTGCTTATTTGAGCTGTTCTTGACATAATATGGACTTGGTCTTTTACCAAATAGGGCTATCTTCTGTATACCCCCCTTACCTTGTCACAATTATTTATGCATAGTCACTTTAACTCTACCCACATGTACATATTACCTCAACTAGCCGGTGCCCCCGCACATTGACTCTGCAACGGTACCCCCCTGTATATATAGCCTCCCTACTGTTATTTTATTTTACTTCTGCTCTTTTTTTTCTCAAAACATTTTTTGTTGTTGTTTTAATTTTACTTTTTTGTTAAAAATAAATGCACTGTTGGTTAAGGGCTGTAAGTAAACATTTCACTGTGATGTCTGCACCTGTTGTATTCGGCGCATGTGACCAATACATTTTGATTTGATTTGATTTGAACACAAGTCATTGGCTCAAACGCATTAAGAAATTAAGTAATTCCACAAATTAACTTTTAAGAAGGCACAAAAGCTTATACACACTCCTGCCATTCAGATCTGGAGCTGTCCACCCTTTAAAGTCATTATTCTGTACTATTGGTACAATTGGAGTGCATGCTTCACTCTCAAGTTGAAATTGAACTTGTTGACTGATGCCAAGGCGTATAGGCTATTGTAATGGCCTGTGTGGTTCATATGTGTTGTAGTTTGTCACATCGTATTGCTTAGTTTATCATTTGTGTCAACTTTGAATTCAATCTAAGCCACAGATGGTTCACTTCCTCCATTTTGTACTTGACCTTTATAGATGCAGACCCGAAGATGTTCAAGCAGGACTTTGAGAGCTAGCCTCCAAAGTCTCCAACTGTCCCAGTACTGGTTGATGTTCAGGCATCCCAAGTCTCCAACTGTCCCAGTACTGGTTGATGTTCAGGCATCCCAAGTCTCCAACTGTCCCAGTACTGGTTGATGTTCAGGCATCCCAAGTCTCCAACTGTCCCAGTACTGGTTGATGTGCAGGCCTAAGTGACCAAACACACTCATTGGACCTACAGCTGGGGTAAGATTCTTCCATCATTCACACACAGTAGACATAGTGTAAACCACCATGTTGTTAACCAAATGCTGTCCTCAATGCTTAAGTTGTATTGTCTATGGCTCAATTTGTGAAAATGCTGTGATTCACAGACACATGATGACCACGATTTGAATGCTGCAACTGAGATGGAATGACATCGAGGGACACACGCTGAGACCCTGAGTATAACTGATATGGGCCAGGATATTTGTGACAAGCACACCAGCACCCCATTTTAAGTTCATTCCATGGCCAACCATCCCTCTAGCTACTCCTTATTCCACATTATGCCCTTTCTGCCCCATGGTCCATCAACTTGACACTTTGGAACTCTCCATCTTCTCTCTATAAACCCACCCTACCTTCACACATTTTCCAAGTGCTGCTTCCTTCACTTGTTCTTCTCCTGATTTGATCATATCTAGTAACACGTTTAAAAGTGTTGTGGTGTAGTTTTTGCTACCTTTTTTCCACCTGTGTAATGCTGTCTTCCTCCTGCTTATTCTGGGGTTCAGACTGAATGCTGTGGTAAATGTGCTGCTCACAATTGACAGCAGCAACATGGATCTGTTAATTGACAAGAAGGGTGTTGATATAGCTGCTTTTAGGCATGGCTTCCTTGTTTTGAGTCTGTTAAGTTTGTTTCTCATTCTGCTGGACTTGACCTAGCATTTTATATTAAACCTACTTTACGCATCGAGTTGTTTCTCCATTTGTAACTCACCCACCAAAAATCACAATCTGCTGTTTTACATTTTGTGTTATTTCTGCTGGTCTAATTCCTAAAATATAAAAGTAGAAGAATCTGTGCACTCTCGGATAGTAATAATAGTTCATATAGTGCTCTTCAATGTCCCATGTTTGTGGCATTGATTAATAAATAATTTAATGTTTACTTCAGATCAGATGTGTATATTTTATGTATAAAATACATTGTTTACCACTTTGATTTCTTTAAAACAATGTAATTGTTGGTTGTAATCTAGGTGCATTCTTGTCAAATAAATATGCTTATTCATTCATGATTATGGATACATTCTGCAATGAGTTTATCTGGCTTTGAATCTGCAACAGAACATGTCAACAAGTTAGTTCTGAATTGCTTTAATACAGCGCATTCTGACACCATGAATTGAAATAGATTTCACCTCGTTCATATAGTTGGCCGAAATTCTAAGGGATTAAATATAGTCCTCCACCGGCTGAAGGAGAAGAGGATCTAGTAAAATAAGGGCATGTCACTAAATATCATCTAGGTAGGTAGCTTCTTTGCAAAAGCTAGCCTAGTATTAATGGCACATTGTAAATATCTGACTGCTACTATGATAGTACAAGACACAAGACCAAAAGCATAAATAAGTCAACAAGTATTAGTTAAAAAATATGGAACAGTAAATGAAAATGTTCAATATCTTTCGTTTTGGTTAAGGTAGCTAGTAGCTAGCTAGATAACAACAAAGGTGTCAGCTAGATATGACATGCAGGAGCATGCAGGGATCTTGCGTGTCTACGTTTATGCTAATTTGTATTTTCGAATCTGAGAGTAAATGGAGCCAAATATATTGATAAAAGTCACCAGGTCCGAGAGAGATTTACATAGTTATCAAAACGTCACGCCAGGGGAAAGTCTACATGAAACAAACGCCTTGTTTGAAGTGGTTCTAAAATCCCTAATGGAAAAAATAAATGGTGAAAAAATTATTGGAACCATTTCCGTGTTTGACCACTAGGTTTTATGGGTATTATGACACGTCCACTGTGGTGTAAAGAGGGGTTGGTTGTTTAGCAACAAAACCGGCTTAGATTGTTGCCAAAATATAAACTATATTTTTTCTCCAATGTTTATTGAAAACATACATACATTTACACAATGAGCACTTGTTGACGCTCAAATACTGCTTACAGTTGTTGGTAGCTAACTACAGAATTGTAGCCATATTAGCATTGCTATGAAATCAGTCAAAACACCTCAAAACAAGACATTGTATCAAGAACAAATATGAAACTAACTGAGACGAGTCACTTACGATTCCCCACATGGCAGTTTCGTGTCATTGTTGGTAGCTAGCTATCTGGCCATCCAGAATCACAACTCAGAGACTTTTGCCCCATTGAAGCGTCCGTATCGTTTTCGTGACGTTGTCAGCTAACCCAGCTATGGGCTGTCTGATTGATCTCTACACTCATGAGTCAATGACAGAAAATGGGCGGTCCGAAAACTAGCGTAAAGCTCCTCCAATGTTGTCATTTTGAGATTGCAGCGCGGATTGTATGATTGATGTCCAGTTATTTCCAACCCACATTTTGAACAAAATCTCACTGTCTTCTTGATATTTTATTAGGCGTAACCGGATTTAAAGAACATCTGGCATCATGAGTAAAGTGCAAGGTGGGATGAAATGCGTGAAATATATCCTTTTTGTTTTCAACTTCATATTCTGGGTAAGTGTTGGTCCTACTATCGATCAGTTAATATACAGTTATTAAATCATAAACATGGTTGCATGTGTGCATAATTGATCGTGATGTATAGTGACTCCTTATAAATTGCGGATGCATTTTGCAGCAAGTGAATCTCGCACGCTGGTCGTAGCCGATTAATTTATATTGTTATGTCGGTCTGCAGGGAAACTTAATTTCGTTTTAGGTCTATCTCAGCAATGTTCTCAGATTTTTATCAGTGTTATCAACATAACACGTTTCTTTTTTTTGCACGTATGTTGTTACCAATAGTAGTCTTATTCTGACGGCTGAGATAGGATTCTCTCACACACACACGCACGCACGCACACACATGCACACACACATACCCTCTCTCTATGGCATCCTTCTTTAACCATGGTGTGGCACATTGCACCATCTGAAGTTCATGTTTAATGTCAACAAAATGTGTGAATTAACCTCTAAGGGAAATGTTATTTAAATATTAATGAAATTGTTTACTATGTTAACAACTATTATATGTATGCAAAAAGTATGTTGCTGTAGACACTGTTATTCCCTGGTGTGAGTCAAACATAGCATAGGCCTATGAATTTGTTGCAGAACTGCAGTTTGTTGCTACATTTCCAACATAGCTATCTATGATCATAGAGATCCTATTAAATAACTAGATGGGCTTTGTCTTGAAACCTCACAGTTCCAGAATGGGGTGAAAATGGCAGCCATATTGGTCAGGGAGAAATCCAAACCTGTCTAATTGGAATGAATGGCAGTAGAGGCATAATCTTGATTATTCTTATGCAGGAAAATAAAAGTGAGGCATGTGATATATCAGACATTGTGTAATAGAATTATTGTCAACCTAAAATATTAATTAAAATATAGTTTCTACAGGTTTTATACACATTTTCCGATAAATAGCCAAAAATATGTAAGCAGACCATAAATGTCTCCATGTTTTGTTTAATTGGAAAGCTGTGAGTACTATTATGTAATACAATATCAGTACTTGTTGCATTTACAACTTGTCTAAGTCCTATCATCAACTGATTTCAGCCAGTGTATGGCTGTGGATGGACTGCATTGTTTGAATGGAATGTTGGCATATAGTCCCAGTCGGTATTAGAACGTCGCAGCCCTGCCCGCCTATGGGGAAACAACCAGTGGTTACCTAGGTTACCCCATTTGCTCACAGCAAAAACATTACCTTTTTCAAACACAGTTTTCTTGTTGTCTGCTTGTTTTAGTTAATTACCAAAACTACATTTAAGAAAAGTACAACATGTCTAAAGATCACTTTTCAACATTGCCTGCTCTCGGGCGTTCTCACTACTTAAACGTAATTTTGTAGGTTTTCCCTCATGCCCCTTTTCATGACGGTGCTAGCAGCCACGTGAGTGAGTGAGTGCTAGCTAGCTACCAACCAGAACATTAAGCTAGCCAAGACCAACAACACAAACAAACTCACTATACAGCTACAAGTAGTGAGTGGAGTTACAAACAAACTATACTAAACAAGTTAAATGTCTTACCTTTGACTAAATGTTTTCCACACACATAGCTACGTGTAGCCTAATTGGACACCAGGTCCTCACATTTCCCACTCTCTGACGACGAATAGCCTGATGCCACAGGGCTCTTCTCGCAGGCTCCATTTCCCTACGTGGGCGCATTGCAAGCCGTAGGTCGGGATTTTTGACCTGGTTGAACAGCATTTTTTCGGCACGTTTTGTTATTTCCGTATATCAAAAAATCGACTACGAAGTTGGCTCTTTTACACTGGGGGTCAATGTGAAAGAATGTTTGTTTCCCTCAATTTGTGGGTGTGGGCGAATATCGACTCAGACTATTAGCAGTGAATTTGAAACATTTATGGAATTATTCCTCTAAAGATGGCTAGCAAGCTATCAAACATACAGTGCAGATACATTCTTAAAATGCATTATTTTACACTATCTTATCACAGAACTGGCAAACCATGGTTGACCAACTCCCTGACCAAAATGTCTGACATTTAGGCCATCATAAGAAGGTTCATGTTCATTCTAGTATTCTAATTCCTAATTCTATGGCACCACATTTCCGATCCCCCTCCCACGAACAATTTGGCATTGTGATGTGAGTGATGTGACTTTTTTTGGGGGGGGGAGAGATGTGTTGAGTTTTGTCTCGAGGGGGGGGTGGGTGGGATCTGTTTTGGCCACATCTTAAAGTAGTTTGTTGTTATTTTAAAACGGATGGGCACAGGCACTGCTCATTCTCGGAATATCAAGGTTATATTTGTTTATTGCCTGTAAACCTGACGTTGAATTGCATTGAATTCTAGGGAAGAAATTACAGTTTGAATCAGGCAAGTTTCCTCTCACGACCTCTGCAAGCCAGAATGTTGAATAAAATGATATTTTAACATACTTTACCGGTTGTCCGTGCAGTTGGTCCTTTTGGCGGTGGGAATGTGAAACTATATCCACAGGAAAGTATAATTACATAAACTTTTCAAAGCGCTGGTAGTGTGTTCAGATTTCTATCACCTGAAGTGTGCGCACAAGATCAAAATACATGAACAAGACTCATGCATACTTGCCGAGCTCATGAACGTGTTAACATGGTTCTGCGCATGCTGAAGGTGATAGAAATCTGAACGCATTGCCAGCGCTTTAAAAAACGTTGGATATATTGTCTCATATTCCTACCAACTGTACGGACAACCTGTAAAGTATGTTAAAATATAATTGTATTCAACATTTTGGCTTGTAGAGGTCGTGAGAGGAAACTTGCCTGATTCAAACGGTAATTTCTGTCGGGTTTCCAGGTAAATTTGCTTCTATACATGTCAGCAGACTCAGCACACATTTAGGCCTTTTACACAAAGAATAAGGGAACAAGGCTGTCAGATGTTATCTAACAATTGCTAAGATATGTGTACTTATCAAAAGTTTTTTTTTTAACCTGTTTTCATATTGTTTTCTACAATTAGATTTTTTGACCAACGTGTCACATTTCTGAAACTGAAATACAAATACATTGTTCTTGATGGTATATGTAATATAATGGCTATTTGAGTATCTCTGTTCCCAACAGCTCTCTGTCCTCGGTAAGACAATTGGTCGTCCCCAGAGTGGTGTCACTTTGTCAGACAGCAGCCCTTTGTGCTCAGTTAAGAGACAAAAAGCAGCAGCCTTGTGAGCTGAGTCAATGAGGGCAGGGTGGTAGTGGTGAGGAGAAAACCAATGAGGGCAGGGTGGTAGTGGTAGCTGTAGGCACAGATTTAGGATCAGTTTACCCTCTGCCTATCCCTCTGCTTCTCCATCACCATTATGGCGTTAAAATGCAACACTGATCTTAGGTCAGAGTCTTGGGGCAGTGTCTACTCTGGCTGCCCCTCTACATGGTGCTCTGAAGGCCAAAGGCCCCAGACGTTAAAGGCAGACTAGTTAGCATTTATTACTTTTTTATTACAACATAATACCATTAGATTTCTACTATGTGCAGTAATGGTTGAAAACAACTGTTTATGGTGTATAGGTTTTTAATAGGACACAGAGGACACAAGGGCTATGGTTAGTTGTGAAGTCAATTATTTTCATACTGGATGTTCCTTTTAATGAAAACAGCTATTTTTGACAGTTGTTGTTTTCAGAGTAAAACATTTTATTGAAGAGTCTGCCCAAGAGTAGCTGCTCAGCCTCTATGTAAGGCCAGGCACCACATGGATGGAGTACCACCTTGTATTAGTGGGTTTCAATCAATCTGTTATTCTGGTAAAGCTCTCATGGGGATCAATGCTGTGCAGTGTCCTGATCTGTTCTCAAGGTCAACTCTAGACATTGCTATTATAAATAGACACCAATCAGTCTGTATCTCATCTATAGTATGCAACATCATGTTTTAATAAGGGTTAAGGTTCATGTATACAATATTGTGCTGAATGGGTTAATTGATTGCCAATGTGTTGCATTGTTATACAGTGAATATCTGTTGTATATTGTTGATTAATGAATACATGTATTTATTTATTTCCACTAAATGTTATGCAGTGAATATTGGTGTATGTTGTTGATTTAATGAATACATGTATTTATTTATTTCCACTAAATGTTATGCAGTGAATATTGGTGTATGTTGGTGATTAATGAATACATGTATTTATTTATTTCCACTAAATGTTATACAGTGAATATTGGTGTATGTTGGTGATTAATGAATACATGTATTTATTTATTTCCACTAAATGTTATACAGTGAATATTGGTGTATGTTGGGGATTAATACTCCTGAATACTCCTGAGTGGCGCAGTGGTCTAAGGCACTGCATCGCAGTGCTAACTGTGCCACTAGAGATCCTGGTTCGAATCCAGGCTCTGTCGCCGCCGGCCGCGACCGGGAGACTCATGGGCGGCGCACAATTGGCCCAGCGTCGTCCAGGGTAGGGGAGGGAATGGCCGGCAGGGATGTAGCTTAGTTGATAGAGCATGGCGTTTGCAACGCCAGGGTTGTGGGTTCATTTCCCACGGGGGGCCAGTATAAAAAAAAATCTGTATTCACTAACTGTAAGTCGCTCTGGATAAGAGCGTCTGCTAAAATAAAAAATAAAATAAAATAATTAATGAATACATGTATTTATTTATTTCCACTAAATGTTATGCAGTGAATATTGGTGTATGTTGGGGATTAATGAATACATGTATTTATTTATTTCCACTAAATGTTATGCAGTGAATATTGGTGTATGTTGGGGATTAATGAATACATGTATTTATTTATTTCCACTAAATGTTATGCAGTGAATATTGGTGTATGTTGGGGATTAATGAATACATGTATTTATTTATTTATTTCCACTAAATGTTATGCAGTGAATATTGGTGTATGTTGGGGATTAATGAATACATGTATTTATTTATTTCCACTAAATGTTATGCAGTGAATATTGGTGTATGTTGGGGATTAATGAATACATGTATTTATTTATTTATTTCCACTAAATGTTATGCAGTGAATATTGGTGTATGTTGGGGATGAATGAATACATGTATTTATTTATTTCCACTAAATGTTATGCAGTGAATATTGGTGTGTGTTTATGCTTTTCTGCTCCCCAGCTGTGTGGCTCGTTGGTGTTGGCGGTGGGATTATGGCTGAGGTTTGACCCAGAGACAGTCCAGCTCCTGACTGGAGAGGAAGCCCCTGAGACCTTCTTCATAGGTGAGTCCAGTCCACAGTGAGACCAGGAGCCCAGACCAGCTGAACACCCTCCCCACTGTTCTATTGGAATTAGTTACCAGTCTTGTGTTTAGTATGGCACAACGTAACCATAGCGAAATGCTAACATCTCCTCTGTTTCAAAACATTTCCTCACATTTCCTTGTACAGAACACAGCCCAGCTACCTACAATGTTCACTAGGGTAGGAATACGTTAGAAGTACAGTATTTAATGGGTGGCTATCTTTGTGTTTGTTGAAGCATTTCCCATCAATCTGTTCTTGTTCTTATCTCATATGAACATACACTGAGTGTACAAAACATTAGGAACACCTTCCTGATATTAAGTTGCACCCCCTTTTGCCCTCAGAACAGCCTCAATTCGACAGGGCATGGACTCTACAATGTGTCGAAAGCATTCCACAGGGATGCTGGCCCATGTTGACTCCAATGCTTCCCACAGTTGTGTCAAGTTGGCTGGATGTCCTTTGGGTGGTGGACCATTCTTGATACACATGGGAAACTGTTGAGTGTGAAAAACCCAGCAGCGTTGTGATTCTTGACACACTCAAATCAGTATGCCTGGCACCTACTACTACCATACCCCGTTCAAAGGCACTTAAATCTTTTGTGTTGCCCATTCACCCTCTGAATGGGACACATACACAATCCATGTCTCAATTGTCTCAGGGCTTCAAAATCCTTCTTTAACCTGTCTCCTCCCCTTCATCTACACTGATTGAAGTGGATTTAACAAGTGACATCAGTAAGGGATCATAGCTTTCACCTGGATTCACCTGGTCAGTCTATGTCACTCAGCTATGACAGGAACCGTACATTTTTGATGGATTATTCTATTAGAGAGTCAGCACTCCCTCCCTCTCTCCCCCCCCTCCTTCTCTTCCCCCCTCCCTCCCTCCCTCCCTCTCTTCCCCCCTCCCTCTCTCCATCCTCCCTCTCTCCCCCCTCCTGCTTTTCCTCCTCCCTCCCTCTCTCCCTCCCCCCTCCCCCTCTCCCCCTTCCCTCCCCTCTCTCCCACTCTCCCTCTCTTCCTCCCCTCTCCTCCCCTCTCCCCCCCCTCCCTTCCTCTCTTCCCCCCCTTCCCTCCTCTCTCCCCCCTCCCTCTCTTCCCCCCTCCCTCTATCCCCCTCCTTTCCCCCCTCCCCCTCTCACCCCCCCCTCCCTCTACCCCCCTCCCTCTCTCCACCCTCCCTCTCTTCCTCCCTCCCTCTCTCCTCCCTCCCTACCTCTCTTCCTCCCTCCCTCTCTTCCCCCCTCCCTCCCTCTCTTCCCCCACTCTGTAGGACATAATCATAGGTTTATTCTTGCAACAACAAACATATTTCCCACAAGAGCTCTTTGAAGAGAAAGTGCATGGAGGGCATTTTCCTGAGCGTCCAATTAAATGAAAACTACACTTTTAAATAACATTCACACAATGTGTCATGTCACAATCAATATTAAACATTGTATATGCATTCAAATACTCTGTCTTGTGTTTCAAGGGACCTCTCAACGTTCAGTATTAAGTACACTTCAGTGTTCCATACAATAGCCTCTCTCTCAATGGGTCTCCACCATGGATATTAGTAGAATGCAGCCTATTCTTCTTACTCCCATTTAGAGCGTGACCTAAAATGGTGACTTCACTTTATCAGCTCTTCACCATGCCTTCACCCAGTTGGCTGCTGCCCTCAGGGTGCTCTGAGGCTACGGTCTCCTAGTGACCGCCACTCCCATCAGCCAGAAAATCATGATATCATCAAACATTGCGTCATTCATTGCACATTGTGATATCGACATCTGGTGCCAGCTTCTTGATTCAATCCTAGTTAAATGTTGTTCAAGGAGATCTGGCTAGATGCCCAAGCCTTGGGATGATGTATGCAATGTAGCTGGTTATAATAACACAATCAAGTTCATTTTGGCTTTCAATGCAAATGTCATACCAGCGCTTGCCTGGGCATCCAAACCATGTGGTACAAAGAGAGCTGCCTACCCAACATAGTGACTTCTAAGTTTGGTAATATATTTTAGAAAAAAAGGATTCCAAAAGGGTTCTTCGGCTATCCCCATAGGAGCACCCTTTTGGCTTCCATGTAGAAAGGGTTCTACATGGAACCAAAAAGGGATATCTTATGGGGACAGCCGAATAACCCTTTTAGGTTCTAGATAGGACCTTTTTTTTATTTTTTCTTACATTTACATTTTAGTCATTTAGCAGACGCTCTTATCCAGAGTGACTTACAGTTAGTGAGTGCATACATTTTCATACTGGCCCCCCGTGGGAAACGAACCCACAACCTTGGCGTTGCAAGCACCATGCTCTACCAACTGAGCTACACAGGGCTTCTTAAGAGTGGATTGGCTGTAGCCAACAATACATGCATAACCTTGTGTTCTTATCCATTTAATTTCACATTTAATGAGGAGACATTGCAAAAACATAGCACTACGATTGATCATGCTTTTATCATATTGCCTTGGCAACACAAGATGCATATTACCTTGGGCTGCATAAGAACCACACCTTATTGCAGCTGTACCGACGAGACCAGACTGAACAGACAGAGATACCATATAGGGGCAAGGTGGCAGCATTCTCTACGGATGATTCACTCTCCATTCTGTCACCTCTGTGTCTGTCTAAGCTGAGACAAGCCTATGGGGAGCAGCCACAGTAGATTTGCACACTGAATGCTCAAAGATTTGCATTTCCCATTGATAACCTCCACCAATGCTGGGCCAGCACAGAAGTGCAAATGCTTAGATATGGCAGATATTGATAAGGACGAAAAACATTTGTCATAAGAAACTAGCTCCCTGGTATACAGAAAATACCCGAGCTTTGAAGCAAGCTTCCAGGAAATTGGAACGGAAATGGCGCCACACCAAACTGGAAGTCTTCCGACTAGCTTGGAAAGACAGTACCGTGCAGTACCGAAGAGCCCTCACTGCTGCTCGATCATCCTACTTTTCCAACTTAATCGAGGAAAATAAGAACAATCCAAAATTTCTTTTTGATACTGTTGCAAAGCTAACTAAAAAGCAGCATTCCCCAAGAGAGGATGGCTTTCACTTCAGCAGTGATAAATTAATGAACTTCTTTGAGGAAAAGATCATGACCATTAGAAAGCAAATTACGGACTCCTCTTTGAATCTGCGTATTCCTCCAGGGCTTAGCTGTCCTGGATCTGCACAGCTCTGCGAGGGCCTGGGATCGGGAGAGACACTTAAGTGTTTTAGTACTATATCTCTTGACACAATGATGAAAATAATCATGGCCTCTAAACCTTCAAGCTGCATACTGGATCCTATTCCTACTAAACTGCTGAAGGAGCTGCTTCCTGTGCTTGGCCCTCCTATGTTGAACATAATAAACAGCTCTCTATCCACCGGATGTGTACCAAACTCACTAAAAGTGGCAGTGATAAAGCCTCTCTTGAAAAAGCCAAACCTTGACCCGGAAAATATAAAAAACTATCGGCCTATATCGAATCTTCCATTCCTCTCAAAAATTTTAGAAAAAGCTGTTGCGCAGCAACTCACTGCCTTTCTGAAGACAAACAATGTATACGAAATGCTTCAGTCTGGTTTTAGACCCCATCATAGCACTGAGACTGCACTTGTGAAGGTGGTAAATGACCTTTTAATGGCATCAGACCGAGGCTCTGCATCTGTCCTCGTGCTACTAGACCTTAGTGCTGCCTTTGACACCATCGATCACCACATTCTTTTGGAGAGACTGGAAACCCAAATTGGTCTACACGGACAAGTTCTGGCCTGGTTTAGATCCTACCTGTCGGAAAGATATCAGTTTGTCTCTGTGAATGGTCTGTCCTCCGACAAATCAACTGTACATTTCGGTGTTCCTCAAGGTTCCGTTTTAGGACCACTATTGTTTTCACTATATATTTTACCTCTTGGGGATGTTATTCGAAAACATAATGTTAACTTTCACTGCTATGCGGATGACACACAGCTGTACATTTCAATGAAGCATGGTGAAGCCCCAAAATTGCCCTCGCTAGAAGCCTGTGTTTCAGACATAAGAAAGTGGATGGCAAAAAACGTTTTACTTTTAAACTCGGACAAAACAGAGATGCTTGTTCTAGGTCCCAAGAAACAAAGAGATCTTCTGTTAAATCTGACAATTCATCTTGATGGTTGTAAAGTCGTCTCAAATAAAACTGTGAAGGACCTAGGCGTTACTCTTGACCCTGATCTCTCTTTTGACGAACATATCAAGACTGTTTCAAGGACAGCTTTTTTCCATCTACGTAACATTGCAAAAATCAGAAATTTTCTGTCCAAAAATGATGCAGAAAAATTTATCCATGCATTTGTTACTTCTAGGTTAGACTACTGCAATGCTCTATTTTCCGGCTACCCGGATAAAGCACTAAATAAACTTCAGTTAGTGCTAAATACGGCTGCTAGAATCCTGACTAGAACCAAGAAATTTGATCATATTACTCCAGTGCTAGCTTCCCTACACTGGCTTCCTGTTAAGGCAAGGGCTGATTTCAAGGTTTTACTGTTAACCTATAAAGCGTTACATGGGCTTGCTCCTACCTATCTTTCCGAGTTGGTCCTGCCGTACATACCAATACGTACGCTACGGTCACAAGACGCAGGCCTCCTAATTGTCCCTAGAATTTCTAAGCAAACAGCGGGAGGCAGGGCTTTCTCCTATAGATCTCCATTTTTATGGAACAGTCTGCCTACCCATGTGAGAGACGCAGACTCAGTCTCAACCTTTAAGTCTTTACTGAAGACTTATCTCTTCAGTAGGTCATATGATTGAGTGTAGTCTGGCCCAGGAGTGTGAAGGTGAACGGAAAGGCTGGAGCAACGAACAGCCCTTGCTGTCTCTGCCAGGCCGGTTCCCCTCTCCACTGGGGTTCTCTGCCTCTAACCCTGTTGCAGGGGCTGAGTCACTGGCTTGCTGGTGCTCTTTCATGCCGTCCCTGGGAGGGGTGCGTCACTTGAGTGGGTTGAGTTACTGACGTGATCTTCCTGTCTGGGTTGGCGCCCCCCCCTTGGTTTGTGCTGTGGTGGAGACCTCTGTGGGCTATACTCGGCCTTGTCTCAGGATTGTAAGTTGGTGGTTGGGGATATCCCTCTAGTGGTGCGGGGGCTGTGCTTTGGCGGAGTGGGTGGGGTTATATCCTTCCTGTTTGGCCCTTTCCGGGGGTTTCTTCGGATGGGGCCACAGTGTCTCCGGACCGCTCCTGTCTCAGCCTCCAGTATTTATGCTGCAGTAGTTTATGTGTCGGGGGGCTGGGGTTAGTTGGTTATACCTGGAGTACTTCTCCTGTCTTATCCAGTGTCCTGTGTGAATTTAAGTATGCTCTCTCTAATTCTCTCGTTCTCTCTTTCTCTCTGAGAACCTGAGCCCTAGGACCATACGTCAGGACTACCGGGCATGATGACACCTTGCTGTCCCCAGTCCGCCTGGCCTTGCTGCTATTCCAGTTTCAACTGTTCTGCCTGCGGCTACGAAACCCCTACCTGTCCCAGACCTGCTGTTTTCAACTCTTAATGATCGGCTATGAAAAGCCAACTGAGAGACCTGAGCCCTAGGACCATACTTCGGGACTACCGGCCGTGGTGACTCCTTGCTGTCCCCAGTCCGCCTGGCCTTGCTGCTATTCCAGTTTAAACTGTTCTGCCTGCGGTTATGGAACCCCTACCTGTCCCAGACCTGCTGTTTTCAAACTCTTAATGATCGGCTATGAAAAGCCAACTGAGATTTATTCCTGATTATTATTTGACCATGCTTGTCACTTATGAACATTTTTGAACATCTTGGCATGGTTCTGTTATAATCTCCACCCGGCACAGCCAGAAGAGGACTGGCCACCCCTCATAGCCTGGTTCCTCTCTAGGTTTCTTCCTAGGTTTTCGCCTTTCTAGGGAGTTTTTCCTAGCCACCGTGCTTCTACACCTGCATTACTAGCTGTTTGGGGTTTTAGGCTGGGTTTCTGTACAGCACTTCGAGATATTAGCTGATGTAAGAAGGGCTATATAAAATAAAATTGATTGAAATTGATTGATAAGGATGAGTGCTGTACATGTGTTGGAAAGGTCTCTCTTATCAACGTCGCTAGCTTTGTTTGTGTAAAGCAAGGTACCTGTCTTGTCTCATGGTGTTTTCCATTGCTAAGTAGGAGATCAGGTTTGAGCCCAGCCTGCCCTCTTGTTCCCAGTTTCCTTCCCCAGCCACAGCGCAGCCACAGCGGACCACTTCGCTTCACCTCCTGCCTATTGTTCTTAAGCAACGAAAACACCTTGGCGCGCCACAGGCCCCCATGTGGTTTAATTAGGCAGCCATAGCAGTTCCTGCCTGTGTCGTTGATTAAGCCCTGAACACGGAGTATGGGGAACGCCCAGGTGTACCATTACTACCCTATCACAGGGCTGGTAGTGTGGGGGGGGGGGGGACATCACAGGGCTGGTGGTGAGGGGGGGGGACATCACAGGGCTGGTAGTGTGGGGGGGGGGGGGACATCACAGGGCTGGTGGTGGGGGGGGGGGGGCATCACAGGGCTGGTAGTGGGGGGGGGGGGGGGACATCACAGGGCTGGTGGTGAGGGGGGGGGACGGGACATCACAGGGCTGGTGGTGAGAGGGGGGGACGACAACACAGGGCTGGTGGTGGGGGGGGGGGACGACAACACAGGGCTGGTGGTGGGGTGGGCATTACAGGGCTGGTGGATGGGGGGGGGGGGGGGGACATCACAGGGCTGGTGGTGGTGGGGGGGGGGGGGGGGCATCACAGGGCTGGTGGTGGTGGGGGGGGGGGGGACATCACAGGGCTGGTGGTGGTGGGGGGGACATCAGAGGGCTGGTAGTGAGGGGGGGGGACATCACAGGGCTGGTAGTGAGGGGGGGGGGGACATCACAGGGCTGGTGGTGTGGGGGGGGACATCACAGGGCTGGTAGTGAGGGGGGGACATCACAGGGCTGGTAGTGAGGGGGGGGACATCACAGGGCTGGTGGTGTGGGGGGGGCATCACAGGGCTGGTAGTGAGGGGGGGGGGGGGGACATCACAGGGCTGGTGGTGAGGGGGGGACATCACAGGGCTGGTGGTGGGGGGGGGGGACATCACAGGGCTGGTAGTGAGGGGGGGGACATCACAGGGCTGGTGGTGGGGGGGGACATCACAGGGCTGGTAGTGAGGGGGGGAACATCACAGGGCTGGTGGTGGGGGGTGGACATCACAGGGCTGGTGGTGGGGGGGGGGATAATCACAGGGCTGGTAGTGAGGGGGGGGGGGGGACATCACAGGGCTGGTAGTGAGGGGGGGGGACATCACAGGGCTGGTGGGGGGGGGGGACATCACAGGGCTGGTAGTGAGGGGGGGGGGACATCACAGGGCTGGTGGTGAGGGGGGGGGGGGGGGGACATCACAGGGCTGGTGGTGAGGGGTGGTGATGATCTTTCCTGCTCCTTGTGTTGAGAGGGGTGTGTTGTTCAGGCATTGAAAGGGGAATACCTAGTCAGTCGAACAACTGAATGCATTCAACTGAAATGTTTCTTCCACATTTAATCCAACCCCTCTGAAACAGAGAGGTGCGGGGGGCTGCCTTAATGGACATCCACGTCATCAGAGCAGCTAACAAGGACATCCACAGGCCTCTGAAAATGAGTGTTGTGTTGATGAGAGACATTATAGAGAAATGTACTGCTGCAAATTCAGCAAAGTGGAGCATTGGATTACCTTAGCAACACCAGGATATTCAAGATATGCAAAATATATTCAAATCAACCAAGAGGCACTTTGAATAATGTGCAATGAGCACTTTGAAGTGGGAAAGTACCTTGTTTTAATGACACTTTTCACCACTGTCAGGATTTTGCATCTCCTTTCAGCTCCTGTATTTTCCACATCTGACACTTCAGAATGTCAACATGTTAGCTGTCTTACATATGGGAAATTACTACACTTCAGTTTGCAGTTATCTAGTGTGTTGCTGCATGGTTTGGTCCATGTGCAACAATCTTGCTTAATGCTGCCACCATCTGTTGATTCACTGAACTCCCCCAGTCCCCTTCCCCAGTCCCCTCCCCCCTCCGCTCACTCTCTGTCTCTGTCTCTATCTGTCCCCAGCCGTGTACATACTGATTGGTGCAGGTGGGGGCATGACGCTGGTGGGATTCTTTGGTTGCTGTGGAGCTGTGAAGGAGTCACAGTGTCTCCTTGCGTCGGTGGGTAATTGGTGGGAGTTTTACCTTAGGCACCTAGCCTCAGGTTGTCTCTGTTCAGTGGAATGGAATTTTAACTAAGCTCTACCCAACCATCTTGACTCAACACAAGTCTCCCACTGGGCACAGACGTCAATTCAACATCTATTCCACGTTGGTTCAACGTCATTTCATTTAAATTACGTGGAAACAACATTGATTCAACCAGTATGTGCCCAGTGGGCTTCTCTTATGAGTATACTGTTAGCAGGCCCTGAGTTTTTACTGACCATATGTCCTGATCTGGGAAAACTCCTGGCCATATGTACAGGATACTGTATGGTAGGCTATGCATTAATATGAACTGGGTGGTTCAAGCCCTGAATGCTGATTGGCTGACAGTCGTGGTATATCAGACCGTATACCACGGGTATGACAATATTTCTTTCTACTGCTTTAGTTATGTTGGTAACCAGTTTATATTAGCAATAAGGCACCTCGGGGGTTTGTGGTATATGGCCAATATACCACGGCTAAGGGCTGTATCCAGGAACTCCGCGTTGCGTTGGCTTAAGAACAGCCCTTATCTGTGGTATATTGGCCATATACCACATTCCCTCAGGCCTTATTGGTTAAATGTGCCACTGCCCTCTCTGTTTTGCAGTTCTTTGCCTGCCTTCTTGTAATCGTTGGTGCAGAGGTTGCTGCAGGTGTGTTTGGATTCATAAGCAAAGACAAGGTATATCCACTCCAATCAATGTTCTGATATTAAACTTGAATGAAAGACAACTTATTAATACTGCAATCTCGGACTAATTTTAATTCATCCTTGATCTATGTTTTAGATCATTGAAGATGTTAAAAAGTTCTACAGTGAATCTATTTCAGAAGGTTCTGAGAATTCCAACCGCACAGCGGCCATTTACCACGCTGTTGTGAGTTAAACTAAATGTTTCTTTATGCTCTCATTATGTACTTGATCATGTCACATTGTCAATGTTGTCCCTTTCTATGTTTTGATATGCTATATTTATTTGTTATATTCTGTTTTATTTCCATTTATAGCTGAATTGCTGTGGGGACTCCGTGAGTAAGCCGTCTCAGTGTCTTGACGCTGATGAAGACCGAAAGGTACAAACAACCCTTCTTTGTGCTCTTAAGCTGCAGTATCATACATTCCTCTAGGGAGCAGTATAACACCATTGAAAACAACATTGTTTTACCATAGGTCTACTTGTCTCCTGTACTGTCTGATAGCTATTACTGTAGGCCTGCTGTTGTCTATTTGACCTAATTTCACATTACATTATTAATATCTCAAATAAAATCAAATTGTATTTGTCACATGCGCCGAATACAACAGTGAAATGCTTACTTACAAGCCCTTAACCAACAATGCAGTTTTAAGAAAGAATACCAAAGAAAATCACACAAAAAAAATAAAAGTAACAAATAATTAAAGAGCAGCAGTAAAAATAACAATAGCGAGGCTATATACAGGGGGTACCGGTACCGAGTCAATGTGCGGGGGAACCGGTTAGTCGAGGTAATATGTAAATGTACATGTAGGTAGAGTTATTAAAGTGACTATGCATTGTTTTATAGGCTAGTTATAGTACAGTAGTACCTATAGCTGTGCTTAGAGCATGGGATTCAGAGATAATGTATGCTCTATATAGGCTAATGAATATACCCTCAATGTTCTCTTATTAAGAAAAAGTGAATAAAGGTATTGTGACATTATCCTATATGCTATGTCTGTTTCCAGGACTGTCTGAATGCAATAATGGACTTTTTCAATGAAAAGCTCTACATTATCGGATATGTGGGGATTGGTGTTGCAGGAGTAATGGTAAGAATCTTACTGACACTCGGGCACAAATTACATTATGTTACATATGGTAACTCGTTATATAATTATTTACAATATGTTACAATAAATCTGTATTACAAGCTTATAGCCTACTAATACAGATGTTTTTTTGTTCTCTTCTCAGGTCATTGGTATGATCTTCAGTATGGTCCTCTGCTGTGCAATTCGGAACAACAGGGAGGTGATATGAAAAGAGCCAGTAGCTTCTCCCACCCTGCAGGCTTAATACAGACTCACCAGCTCTTTATAATCACAATGCCTGAACAATAAGGGGACATCACATCTGGGACGGTGGACAGGGGGAGCCTTTTTTTTTTACACAAACGTTCTGAGTCCAGGGGTCAATTTAGTGGTGCGGGTGTGATATCACAACACTCAAATTATCACAGGGATTTCCCCTTCCCCTGGACAGAGGCAGTTAGACCAGACCACCTCTGTCTTCTCTGGCATCTCTGTAACCTGAATAACTGGCCTCTCACTGCACTCCTCTCCAAGCACAACGTGGCTCAGCATTTGGCACTACTCTGAGACATTCCCAATTTTTAGCATCCTCTAACACTGCTAGCATTCCATGTTCATGTAAACTCTTCCACTTTGACGCAGGAATGTGATGGGTGAAGAGCATTGCTGTAAATACAAACTCCTTTGTGTGCTGTTTTTAACGTTATTTATCCAATATCTTGTAACCTCAGTTTAAGGGTTAATTGTGTGTACAGAGCTACTGTAGTCATCCATCGCCTGCTTGTAAATCTGCATTTAGGTCAGTAATCTTAACTCCAGCCTTGAGTTTTACATAACTGTTTTTGGGACTTGCGCCTATGCATCATACATTTCATTACTCACTAAATGCCTCAAATGTGCATCTTTGTACAGACAAGCCCAAGCAACCTATTCCTACCACAGCTGCATATTTTACTTTAACAACCTGTATGTTGTTGTCCTTTATTTGGCCCATCAGCAAAGTGTTGCTCTGCTAGAATTATTCCCTGTTGGAAAAGAGCAGGTTTCAGCTGGACCGACTTTCTGAATAACTATTGTCATCAATATTCTGTGTCAGGGAGGCAGCTACATTTTATGAAGTACTGTTCTGTCATTCTGTCAATGTCCAACCTCCTGATGTCTGGATGTTCAAGCTTTTTGCATTGTCCTGTGTGAGGTCTCAGAGAACACAACGTGTGAACTGTTCCAGTGAGTTAGTGTATATTTTGAGTGAATTCTACTGGGTGTTAATATTGTGTGCACATAGTCGGCTACACTGTTGTAGATCCAGGTTATGTATGCTAATAATGTCAAACAAAAAAGAAACCATTGAATGCTTTTATTTTATCAGCTTGTCCATTTTGTAGCTGTTGCCTGTAAAATACAGTGCTATGAAAAAGTATTTGCCCCCTTTCTAATTTTCTATACTTTTGCATATTTGTGATACTGAATGTTATCAGATCTTCAACCAAAACCTAATATTAGATAAAGGGAACATAAGTGGACAAATAACACAACAATTACATATTTATTTCATTTATTTCATAAACAAAGTTATGCAACACCCAATTCCCCTGTGTGAAAAAGTAATTGCCCCCTTACACTCAACTGGTTGTGCCACCTTTAGCTGCAATGACTCCAACCAAATGCTTCCTGTAGTTGTTAATCAGTCTCTCACGTCACTGTGGAGGAATTTTGGCCCACTCTTCCATGCAGAACTGCTTTAACTCAGTGACGTGTGGCTTTTCAAGCATGAACTGCCCGTTTCAAGTCCTGCCACAACATCTCAATTGGGATTAGGTCTGGACTTTGACTAGGCCATTCCAAAACTTCAAATAAGTTGCTTTTTAGCAGATGTTCATGTAGACTTGATTGTGTGTTTTGGATCATTGTCTTGCTGCATGACCCAGCTGCGCTTCAGCTTCAGCTCACAGACGGATGGTCTGACATTCTCCTGTAGAATTCTCTGATACAGAGCAGAATTAATGGTTCCTTCTATTAAGGCAAGTCGTCCAGGTCCTGAGGCAGCAAAGCATCCCCAAACCATCACACCACCACCACCATGCTTGACCTTTGGTATGATGTTCTTACTGTGGAATGCTGAGTTTGGTTTTCGCCAGGCATTACTGGAACCATGTCGTCCAAAAAGTTATACTTTTGAATCATCTGTCCATAGAACGTTCTTCCAAGAGTCTTGATGAGCATCCAGGTGCTTTTTGGCAAACTTGAGTCAACTTTTTGGACTAGATGGGTCCCATTATGCCTGGTGAAAACCCAACACTGCATTCCACAGTAAGAACATCATACCAACGGTCAAGCATGGTGGTGGGGGTCAGTTGTTTGTTCACCCGCAATTGATAATAACCCATCCGCAATCTCCCGACTATTTATGATAATGGTCAAATCTGAGGCCCCACCCTAACCAGCAAATTTAGAAAATGCGCAGTTCTGTTTTTTTCTCTTGAACATTTATTTATTGAACAATTAGGTTTTCCATACAGTTAGGCCCTAAAGTTTAGGCTTACGCACTAATGCCAGATAAAAATGATGAAAAACCGGTAACACTTTACTTGACACCCAGCGTCATAACACATTAAGAAACGGTCATAATAACCATGTCATAATATGTCATAACAGCTGACATAACTTGTCATGACACATATTTGAACCTTTTGTGACATATATTGCATTATTTTATGGCTGGTTATAACACCTACATAAGAGTGTCAAAACCCACAAAATCTACCACAGAAGGCAAAACATTCCATTACACCATAGCCTACTTGTCAACAGTATGTTTATGTTATATAACATTTTATGAAATTGACCATATTAAATTGTCATTGTAATTGCGCACACATTGCTGTCAAACATGCACCTACCCTAATGCTCTGTTGCTGATGACTGGAATGAATGCAGGAACAGATTTCAGGAGCAGGACAAGACACCCTCATTTTGACTGATGACTGACATAAAGTCATGTACGTGATAGGCCTATCTGGCTCATATGACTAGGATGGTCATAATTCTTCTTGACAGTGTCATAAAGTGTATTTTCTACAAGTTCTTTAAAATATGATGGAAAAAAACATGACTGTAAATAATTCATTACAACAACAAAGGACTTAAGAAACAAACTTTCAAACGAAAGGAAACTTCTTGGCAGGGAAAGAACACATTTGAATAAGTGTGGGTTTTGACACTTCTGTAGGTGTCATAACCAGCCATAAAATAAGGCAGTATGGTGTTATGACCATATGTCCGCAGTTATGACATACACTACATGACCACAAGTATGTGGACACCTGCTCGTCCAACATCTCATTCCAAAATCATGGGCATTAATAGTTAACCCACTGTTCTCCAGGCGCCGATGACATGGATGTTGATTAAGGCCTTCCCCAAACTGTTCACACAAAGTTGGAAGCACAGAATTGTCTAGAATGTAATTGTATGCTGTAGCGTTAATATTTCCCTTCACTGGAACTAAGGGGCCAAGCCCGAACCATGAAAAACTGCCCCAGACCATTATTCCTCCTCCACCAAACTTTAGAGTTGGCACTGCATTGGTGCAGGTAGCGTTCTCCTGGCATCCGCCAAACCCAGATTCGTCCGTCGGACTGCCAGATGATTAATCAATCCGGAGAAAGTCCAATGGCTGCGAGCTTTACACCACTCCAGCCGAAATTGTGCGGCTGCTCGGCCATGGAAACCCATTTCATGAAGCTCCCGACGAACAGTGCTGACGTTGCTTCCAGAGGCAGTTTGGAACTTGGTAGTGAGTGTTGCAACCGAGGAGACTATTTTTATGCGCTTCAGCACTCGGCCGTCCCGTTCGGTGAACTTGTGTGGCCTACCACTTCGAGGTTGAGCCGTTGTTGCTCCTAGACGTTTCCACTTCACAATAACAGCACTTACAGTTGACTGGGGCAGCTCTAGCAGGGCAGACATTTGACCAACTGACTTGTTGGAAAGGTGGCATCCTATGACGGTGCCACGTTGAAAGTCACTGAGCTCTTCAGTAAGGCCATTCTACTGCCAATGTTTGTCTATGGCGATTGCATGGCTGTGTGCTTGATTTTATACACCAGCAACAGTGTGGCCGAAATAGCCGAATCCACTAATTTGAAGGGGTGTCCACATACTTTTGTGCATATATAGTGTTATGACGCTGCATGCTAAGTAAAGTGTTAGTGAAAAAACTCAATGTAAACTATAGATATGACCGCACAAGAAGTATACATGTATTCATTTTTTTTAATTAATTGTTCTGTTTATTCAAACCGCCCTTCATCCACACATTTCATAACCCTAAACCTGCCCATCCCGTGGATATAACCGTCGGGACTGCAGGTTATGAGTCAACCCGGGCATCACTAAAACATATACAAAACAAAATTAGGACATACAACATACAAAGTGATGTAACAGTCATTTCCTCTGTTAGATGACCTCGTGCAGATAGTATCAGTGATGCTACTTGGCAGGCTCAGTCAGTCTCGATACGGTATCACTTACTTGGTGTGAGAAATGCCTATCCACTCGGTTAAGGCAATTACAAAACCATTTGCGGCATGTCATTAATACAAAGAAACTAAAAGTGTTGAACTATTGTCTATAGCCTTGAAGTAACGTGGACCATACCAGAACACTTCACAACCCTACTGTATGAATTTTCATAAATATGCATAATATAAATACCATACGTAAAACTGTATGCACACATGACTAAGTCGCTTTGGATAAAAGCGTCTGCTAAATGGCATATTATTATAAAAACATAGAAAAAAGGTTAACAGTGCTAATAATTTAATATACTAAGATGTGAGTGTCTGTGGCAGCAAACTCTTAGGCGCTTGGTCCCTCTGTCTCAAACTAAACCTCAGTGAAATGTGAGTTGAGGTTTCTTTTTAAAAAAGGTTAAAAAGCTAATTCTATTGTATTTCTAGAGATGTTTCTTTGCCCTCAGTTGACCACAGTTAAATTAACAATTAAAATGTCTGAATCGGATTAATTGAAGGCTTGAAATCACATGACTGCAAATACATGACCAACGCTATGAAATACCTAAACCAGTGGAGGCTGACGGGAGCACGGCTCATAATAATGGCTGGAACGGAACATTTGGAATGGCATAAAACGCCTGGAAACCATGTTTGATGTAATGATACCATTCCACCGATTCCGCTCCAGCCATTACCACGAGCCCGTTCTCATTTTACATTTAAGTCATTTAGCAGACGCTCTTATCCAGAGCGACTTACAGTTAGTGAGTGCATACATTTTTCATAATGGCCCCCCATGGGAATCGAACCCACAACCCTGGCGTTGCAAGCGCCATGCTCTACCAACTGAGCTATAGGAGGCCTCCCCAATTAAGGTGCCACCAACCTCCTGTGACCTACACAAATCTTTACACCACACTATGGCATTCAACCAACAGCACAAAAGTAGAATTTTTAATTATCAAAAATATTTTTAGATAAACAATGAATAAAGAAAACAAAAAACTGTGAAAAATTATTCAGTTGTGTTGAAGTGGCCCCTCACAGAGGGAGAGGAAACGGGGAAGACTCCCCGGCCAGCGCCACTGCTGCACTTCATGGTCCGCAGTTCAGCAAACTGACACCTTCAAGTGCAATCGTTGGTCACAGCCCATTAAATAAGCCAGGAAAACATTTGGAGGAAGTGCAGTACAGCCGTTAGACCATACAGGAAGTCAATAACTACAGAATGGTTAAATTTTTTCTCTTTTCTAGGTTCCAAAGCTCTGACAGACACCTCAACAGTCTTGGGTAGTTAATTTTTTCTGCACCATATACTGATTAAATATAGCTGCCAGTCTTTTGCTGAGATACTTCTTCATCCGACGTGTGAGAGAGTCCAATGCATAGCCAGGTAGTGTTGGTCTCATCTCATGCAGACAAGTAGTTGAAAGGTGACTGGTCCAGGATGAACTCTCCGATGCCAATAAAGTACATGACCTGTGCAATGCCGAAGAGAGGAGCGATGACCAGCGCCCTGCATCCTGCTCCCTTCAGAAAGGCAGAGGGACCCTCCTTACGCATGATCTTACTGCAGGGAGACCGAGAGGAAATAAACCATCAATGCTTGAATTTCAGGAAATTATGTAAATCAATTATTATAGACCTCACTGGTTGGAAAGTTGCAAAGAGACCAAAGTCAGGGAAAAGCATGATTAAAGAGTGACTGTACCTGACGCAGTCAACCACACCGTTGTAGCTCTCCTCGTTGGCCCCTTTGCTCAGAGATTGCAATCTCGTTTTGACAACTGAAATAAAGAGCGGGAACTTGTTAGAACAGGAAGTAGAGCAGTAAAAAATATATACATCCGCTAGCTTAATAAAAGTGGGTCACAAATGGAGACAGATTCCAGACTCACCATCACAAGGATTGACTGCCACAGCTGCAGTGGAGCCAGCCAGACAGCCAGAGAGGAAGGCCCAGTAGAAGGGTGCTGATTCATCTCGAGAGGGCTGGCCCAGCCGGTTAAGGTGGGCGAACAGTGGGAAGTAGACCATGGAGAAGGGAACATCTCTGAAATAGAAGACAAGTATTTTACTGGTTGGTAAATCTGTTTTCTAAAGCTATTCCTGTTTTTTCTAGCCCAGCAACCCCAATAAAAATGACTTTAGGCCTTTGACTTTATATGAATGTGTAAGAAGCCCTTACCTCATCAGGGTGGCCCCGAGGCCTTTGTAGAGGCCCTGGATGCCTTGTTTGTGCAGAAGCTCCCGGGCGATCTGGGTAGCAGACACCGCCCTGACTGCAGGGCTGGGCCCCACGTTGTAGGACCTGCTCAGCACTGTGTTGGTGGCAGCCAGCTTAGTGGGAGACATCGTGGCTGGCATTCTCTGCTGAGCCACTGGGAGGAAGAACAACAAAATACATGAATATATTTGCACAAATTGTATTTGCCACTGTAGGAATCACATGTAATATAACTTTCTTCAATCAATACTGTGTACTTGTTTACCTAGCCTTCCTGCGTCCTGAAGTTGAATCTTAAGCATTTCCATGGGAGTAGTAATGACAACCTGGCATATGCCTGCACCACAACCTGCCAGCATCTCCTTAAACACAGTCAAGCCCTTCCTGCAACAAGGAGTCAGAGGTTAGAAAGCATGCGTGGGATAGGATTGGTCTCTTCAATGACTAGTTGGACACTTCATTATATATCTATTAGCTACATCCATCTGTACTCTTAATCTACAGTCTTCAATGGCCGAAAAGTAAACAGTAATTTACCCATTTTTGCTAAGATGCTGGCGGAAGAAGTCATTTGCGGCTAGTTTGATGGCCTTCTCAGGGGTGACCAGGGTCAGATTCACAGCAGCACCTGAAGACAAAACAATTGACCTTTAGTCAAACCTTAAAAATCATACATCTAAAATGTTTTTACAAGAAAATGTTACAAACAAACACATTCCCAAAACATTCCCCACCATCATCAGTCCATTTAAGTATGCAATGCCATTGACTGTACAGTACTAGCTATCAATCTAACACACGCGTTTCAAAATGAAATAGACGAGAAGCGCTCAAGATGGCTGCTCTGGCACGATCATGGAGGGGGATTATTTCAAGCGTAAGTCAACCTAATGAGTTACATTAAAACATGAGAAACATGATGAGAAGCAAGCAGAACCGGAATGAGAAAAGAGATCAGAGAACACTAGAGAAGGGGATGCAGAGAAGACGGTAAATTCCAGGAGAAAATGAAAAAAAGTTACTACTGGAAGAAAGACCAACTTTTCTTTAGAAAACAATGTGGGAAGAAGACTTTACATTAAGATGTAGGCTAGCCGACATGCCAGTGGGAAATGGATAGATGAGAATGAAAGTCACCTTAGCCACTACTACGACATACATTTTCACAAGAACACTGTATGGCAACGGTCACAAGTGTTGGTGAAGAAACAGAAAGGGAGATGAGTCGACAGGAGAAAGAACAGGTTCACTGATATCAAGACATGAAGGAGCAAAATATTGAACAAATGGGAAATGTTTGCCTAGTTGAAATAGAGCATTGTTGTAAGAACCATTAAATGATTTGCCTTCAGCGTGGCTGCGCCATATCGGCTAGCCGTTCAATATCCCAGGGTGACCCAAGCCTGTAATATGAAAAACAAGCATTCCTCACATAAATGGAGTCTCATAAAACGAGCTCCAACCTCCTCTCCACAATAGACACTAGGCTATGTACATCATAAATGTGTCAATGTGTTTCATACAGTATTTAGTTTCAGTACAGCTAAAGTAATGCATTTCACTGTGAACATTGCATCAATCATGTCATTAATTGAAAATTAGGCCATTCGCTTTTAAAATGATTTTTTAATGATGCACATAAACATCACTACATCAGTACAATGCAGTGACAATCTATCAACTTTTGAGATCACATCAGAATATTATTTTTTCTATCAATAATGAGAAACTACTGCATTGATTGTGTTTGAACCGCAACTTGACTGCTTTCACTTTAAGCAAATAATTCAAACCAGATCAGGTATAGCTTAAAATAATGTTCTTGCAATCTGTTACAATTTCACTAATAACCCCCCTGTTGACTAGATATAGAACAAGTACTATAAAACTATGACTAAAAATGTAATGAGTCTTACCTCTATACATGCCAAAGTATCCTTCTGATCGAACAGTTTTTATGAGGCAGTCCATCCTAAGAGAGAAAACAAGTCAGAATGAGGGGAATGTATCAACTTCTATTAATCAATTAATGAACACTTGGCTTCATGACAAAAAGTTTAAAGAGACATCATTCAACAAATCATATGTAAATGCAAAGTACAGCTATTTCTACTCCTGTAGGTTGGGCTTTGACAGTAATGGAATTTTTGGTGAAGGTTATTTGTCAGCCAAATGACTGTAATCACCGCTGGATTCGTTACAATAGCAACAACAACGTTTCATCACGTTGTAAAGAGTCCATGTTATCGCGGAAGCTGACTCGACCGCAAGTGTCAATCTTTTTTAATGCCCAGCCGTCCTGTCTTCAGTCAGATGTCTGTTCCACTAATTCTAAAACTGCCTAGTTTCGCCTCCCCTCTGCTTTTATAAACTGTTCGATGTAATCCAGGCTTACTTTAGTTTGCTGCTTTCAGGTAGTTTGTCGACTAGAATATGAAGTTGATTTCATTTTCATGACGGACTTAATCCACAATCGTCAGTTACACAATTATACAATTACCGCACCAGCCCTACCCGTAGGTAAAACAGACAGTCAGAACTAAGGAACATCGAGGGGTTTAGGGTGGAGATGCCAGCTGAATGGGTGCACAGAGCAAAGGGAAATTTCCACTGCCCTCGCACATTCCTCAGGATTACTCAACGGGGAAGAATGGGACAATGACGGCAGTCTGTCGTCACGGACATGGGACTCAAAAGCCTGGCATGAGTCTATGCTTTCACAACAGCAGCCACATTCTCTGAAGTACATCTCAAGATATCCCATCCTATATTAGTGTCATTCCATGTCCTTTGTTGGGTTTTTAAAAACTGTCAAATAAACTGAACTATCAAGATTTAGCTATGCAACCACACAGCATGACATGAAAAGGGAGGACGGAGTGAAGGACTCACATGTTTTTGTAGATCTGCTGGCCTTGCCTCTGGTTCTGTAGCCTGGTCTTTACCAGGTCTATGGGAAACACACAGGTGACCCCCACAATGCCAGCAATACCACCATTGATCAGCTTGGCGGGAAGGCTGGAAAAAAATCATACCGTTTGAAATGAGGTGGTACACACACACACAACTTCAAGGCACTTGAAATAGATAAAACATAATGGATGCATGCCTTTATGAAAACTGTACTGAGGATACATTTTCCTGGGTTCCTAACACTAAACAAAAACAAAGCTACTATCTAGAAATTGCACATATTGAGTAAAAAAAAGTCAGAAAGAAGCTCAAGGCAGATGAGAGAAAGCCACAGTACCTGATCTGCTGCTGGTGAGCCATGGTAACTTTCAGATAGATCGCAGATGTAGAAAGGAGCTGTGAGATCTTAGTTAGTCGTAAGTCGATCGTAGTGGTCAGTAGATCAGGTGCTGATTAGCTGCTGCTAGAGTCTGGAGAGGAAAAGCCATGGAGGTTATATATAGACAAGCCTGTCAGAGTCCTGAGCGTGAGAGTACACACACAAAATTAAACCTACTACACACAAAGCCTGTCCCATGTACATACAGTAACACCCCTTTTGGATAATCTCCACCCACTCACACCTCAAAGGATCACGAGGGTTTACAACCTGCCTCCTACTCATCAGTAAAATGGGCGTGTAGCTCAACACACGCTCAATAACCGGAGGTCTATATTTGGGCATCCGTTTGCATGGCCCTGAGGCATCAACGCCAGTATCTTTGGCTCAGTTGCTAGCGTAAAAGACATTCCAGGTCAGGATGTGAACAAGATTCAACTCGAGTCTAACTTGTAATTTTCCTACACCCCAAACCGGTTGAATAATTAACGTTAGTTAGATAGCTATTTCACTTTTATTTAAAAGCTAGAATCTTTATTTGCTACATCAATTTTTGGAAATACATATATATTACACACACACACACACACACACACATATTTCCCCATTGGTTATTGAAGAATATTACTTATGAGCTTAGTTCAACTGTCATAACCCATCATAACCCAAAATATAAGTTTGTCTTACTCCAATGTTTGCAAAGAACTTAAATACTAACAATATTAGTTATAGCCTCAAAACATGGTTAAAACTAGATCTGATATAATGTATGGTCAGTCCTTGCACACCATACTAGATCATTTGGTAGAGCATGGCACTTGCAACAACAGGGTTGTGGGTTCGAGCTACACGCCCATTTTTATACCATTAGAACAAGTATAAATATGTATGTACTTACTACTGTAAATCGCTCTGGATTAGAGTGTTTGCTAAATGCCTAAAACGTCAAATGAGTGGTTAGTAGTTACATTTTTGCCAGCCCCATCCATTAGCTAACTTGCTATTTAACGAAAGAGGGGCGGGTAAACGCTTTGTTATTGTTTCAACTAAGGATTCTAGATTTAACAAATACCATTATATTATAATTTTCCCTAAGTAATCTTATTAAATAACAGCAACAATATGTTTCATTACGATTGCGCCTAATTTACTTAGCTAACTACCAAGGCTAGTTAGCTAACTAGCTTTTATTTATCCGGAAATGGCTAGCTAGGTAATTCAGTAACTTCCGTAACTATATAACGTTGCTGAAACATTATTAATCAAGTTCCTCTATATAAAAATATAAAAAACGGACTTAAAATTCGAATAGATAGTTTAATTGCACTATCTGAGCAAGCTAGTGTTAACTTGCTAACGTTACCTAACTTTAACTACCTAGCCGCAGCAGTTCCTCTTTCAATAATACATTATAAGAAATTAAGCAAAGATGACATAAAAAGTGTCAATCGAATTATGATACATTAGCTAATAGTTGTATTTGATAACGTAAAAGACACTCACCTGAAATAAATGTCAGATTGAGATATTTCTTTCTAGTACGTAAAAGTGTCGTATATCTGGTCACTAGTTGTAAAACTTGCTGAATGAGATACTGGAAAATTCCACTCGCTCAGTAAACGTGAAGGAGTGGTCAACTCTTCGAAACGAGAGTTTCAATTTATCCAATCGTGGTTCGTAGATTTACATATTGACCGTTTATTGGTCCTTTTATTTCGTTAGTCGTAAGAAGAGGCGGCGATTAAAGGCTGAAGTTGCCCCAGGGTGCCGATCTAAGGTCAGTTTGGAATTTTCGTGAAGATTTGAGAATGGTAACCTCAACAACATTCTTCATCCTAGATCAGTTTCTACTTACATCTTCGCAGAGCCAGAGAGTATAGGCACAGAGGGTTAGTTAAAGGTATCTTTCGTATAGGCAGCAGTGGAAAAGTACCCAATTGTCATACTTGAGTAAAAGTAAAGATACCTTAATAGAAAATAACTCACATAAAAGTGAAAGTCACCCAGAAAAAAAACGACTTCAGTAAAACTCTAAAAGTATTTGGTTTTAAATATACTTAAGTATCAAAAGTAAATGTAATTGCTAAAATATACTTAAGTATCAAAAGTAAAAGTATACATTATTTCAAATTCCTTATATTAAGCAAACCAGAAGGTACAATTTTCTTGTTTTTTAAATTAATGGATAGCCAGGGGCACACTCCAACACTCAGACATAATTTACAAATGAAGCATGTATGTTTAGTGAGTCTGTCAGATCAGAGGCAGTAGGGTTGACCAGGGATGTTCCCTTGATAAAGGTACCGGAACGCCAAGTCTAGGTCCAAGAGGTTTCTAAACAGCTTCTACCCCCAAGCCATAAGACTCCTGAACATCTAATCAAATGGCTACCCAGACTATTAGCATTTTTCTTTTTAAAACAAGTCATAACCCAGTCCTTAAATCACAAAACAACATCACAATCTTTAAAACATTAACAGTGAATCCAATCTTTTAGTTAGCTTCACTGCTGTAAGTGAGATTCATTGCATGTTCTCTGAAATCCATATATGGAATGAATCTCAGGCAAGTCACATGAACATCCCATCAGGTTTACAGGTGTCTACATTATTAACATATCTAAACAATCAGTCATGGGTTTTAGTCATATGTTGCTTTAAACCAATGAGATATCAAACAAGTTCGAAAAATGTTTTGTTTCTTTCTCCACAATAAAAACATGAAATTATGTCATATGAATGCACACACTACTGTAAGTCACAACTCGCTTTGGATAAATATGGCTGCTAAATGGCATATACACTGAGTGCACAAAACATTAAGAACACATTCCTAACATTGAGTTTGCCCTCAGAACAGCCTCAATTCGTCGGGGCATGGACTCTACAAGGTGTCGAAAGCATTCCACAGGGATACTGGCCCATGTTGACTCCAATGCTTCCCACAGTTGTGTCAAGTTGGCTGGTAGTGGATCCCTATTCCGAATAGCTTGTTCCATCTCATCCCACAGATGCTCATTTGGATTGAGATCTGGTGGTGATTGGGCAGGCCACTGCAGTAAGCTGAATTCACTGTCATGTTTGTGAAACCATTCCTGGACAATCCTAGCATTGTGAAATGGAGCATTATCCTGTTGAAAAAATCAATTTGCAGATGGATACACTGCTGCCATGAAGGGATGCACCTGATTGGCAATGATGTTCAGACATCCTGTGGCATTCAAACGTTGCTCACTTTTATCAAGGGGCCCAATAGAGAGAAATAGTAATGGTGTCCTTTTGGAGGGACTAACTAACTCTGCCATGGTTCGTTGTATAAAGCCTGGCTTTCATGTAGGGTTTGAATGAATGGCGTTCTTATAGGGTTTTTGGATAAACACAGACAATAAGGTCTGTGGTAAACACAGGCTTAGGAGATCATATACAGTGCCTTCGGAAAGTATTCAGACCGCTTGACTTTTTCCACGTTTTGTTAGGTTATTCTAAAATTGATTAAATAGGTTTTTTTCCCTCATCAATCTACACACAATACCCCATAATGACAAAGCAAAAACACGTTTTTTGAAAATATTGCTAATTTATCAAAAATAAAAACTGAAATATTACATTTACATAAGTATTCAGACCCTTTACTCAGTACTTTGTTGAAGCCCCTTTGGCAGAGACTACAGCCTTGAGTCTTCTTGGGTATGACGCTACAAGCTTTGCACACCTGTATGAAAAAAATAAATATGTATGCACTCACTAACTGTAAGTCGCTCTGGATAAGAGTGTCTGCTAAATGACTAAAATGTAAAATATGTATTTGGGGAGTTTCTCCCATTATTCTCTGCAGATCCTCTAAAAATCTGTCAGGATGGATGGGGAGCGTCGCTGCACAACTATTTTCAGGTCTCTCCAGAGATGTTCGATCAGGTTCAAGTCCAGGCTCTGGCTGGGCCACTTAAGGACATTCAGACACTTGTCCCGAAGCCACTCCTGCATTGTCTTGATTGTGTGTTTAGGGTCGTTATCCAGTTGGAAGGTGAACCTTCGCCCCAGTCTGAGGTCCTGAGCATTCTGGAGCAGGTTTTCGTCAAGGATCTCTCTGTACTTTGCTCCGTTCATCTTTCCCTCAATCCTGACTAGTCTCCCAGTCCCTCCCGCTGAAAAACATCCCCACAGCATGATGCTGCCGCCACCATGCTTCACCGTAGGGATGGTGCCAGAATTTCTCCAGATGTGACGCTTCATCAGACCGGAGAACCTTGTTTCTCATGGTCTGAGAGTCTTTAGGTGCCTTTTGGCAAACTCCAAGCGGGCTGTCATGTGCCTTTTACTGAGGAGTGGCTTCCGTCTGGCCACTCTACCATAAAGGCCTGATTGGTGGAGTGCTGCAGAGATGGTTGTAATTCTGGAAGGTTCTCCCATCTCCACAGATGAACTCTAGAGCTCTGTCAGAGTGACCATCGGGTTCTTGGTCACCTCCCTGACCAAGGCCCTTCTCCCCCGATTACTGTTTGGCCGGGCAGCCAGCTCTAGGAAGAGTCTTGGTGGTTCCAAACTTCTTCCATTTAAGAATGATGGAGGCCCCTGTGTTCTTGGGGACCTTCAATGCTGCAGAAAGTTTTTGGTACCCTTCCCCAGATCTGTGCCTCAACACAATCCTGTCTCGGAGCTCTACGAACAATTCCTTTGACCTCATGGCTTGGTTTTTGCTCTGACATGCACTGTCAACTGTGGGACCTTATGTAGACAGGTGTGTGCCTTTCCAAATCATGTCCAATCAATTGAATTTACCACAGGTGGACTCCAATCAAGTTGTAGAAACATCTCAAGGATGATAAATGGAAACAGGATGCACCTGAGCTCAATTTCGAGTCTCATAGCAAAGGGTCTGAATACTTATGTAAATAAGGTATTTCAGTTTTTTATTTTTAATAAATTAGCACAAATTTCAAAAAACCTGTTTTCGCTTTGTCATTATGGGGTAGATTGCTGAGGAATTGTTTTAATTCAATCCATTTTAGAATAAGGCTGTAACGTAACTAAGTGTGGAAAAAGTCAAGGGGTCTGAATACTTTCCAAAGGCACTGTACGTTTTGTTCTATGAGATAATCTTCATCAGCTAACGTCACATTTTGTGAATTTTGAAGAATTTATTTAATCAAAAAAAGCACATGAAGCACATAATGTGGCACAGTGGCATTGACAAACTTCCCAAAGGGAAAAGGGAAAGAAGCCTAAAGAGCGACCAGACCAGAGACGGAGTCATTGAACTTGTTGATATGGCCGCTCGTGTTCAGACAATTCATCCTCTGTTGTGATTGGTTTCCTCCCATTTGAAAAAGGGGAACACAACAAAAACAAAACTACAGAGATTTGTTTGAATGGAACTGTGAACGGTATGTGCCCTACATACAGTAGCTAACTCAATTCTGTCCAAAAGAATGCTGAGGGGGCAAATTCTATTTTGATGATTGCTTTATTCATTACGGTATCAGGGCTTTTCTCTTCAAAACACAGCTTGATCTGGTATGTCAGCTGGACAATTGACACCATTGTCATGTGTTTAGTCTGATTGTTTCAGAGTAAATTCAGGTCAACAGTATTTTATTCCATTTTAAACCAATTGCATTTAATATAAATGGAAAAGCAACACACTTATAATCACCTGTCTAATCTGATTTAATAGCCTTCATTGTAAAACACAGTAGAATGGTCACTGTGTGACTGCATACTGATATAAAAGTCAATGGGTCATCAATCTTAAATCAATAAGTCTTTCATGAGGTCAATTCTAGTTATGTAGTATTGACAAGGCAGTTTTAAGGTGGGGGTGACAATATAACAATCATGTTTATTAGGGTGCTGAGTGAAATATGCAACTTTGTGGTGTTTAAATCATTTCTGATGAATGCTATCTGATATAGAATATCTATGTCATTTTCCATCTATTAGTCCTGAGCGATCAACCAACTTTAAGGTTATTTTCGGTTTTTAAACAACTAATTGACCGACATCGCACAGTTTCTCAGGTGGGTCGCGACGCGTCAGAGTAAATGTATAAATATTTCATGAATTACTTGAATTTATTTGGCCAAGTGCAACCGCGCTCTCTGTTCAGTGAGCTCTCTGCTTAGCAGCGGTGCCTCTGCTCAGTTTGGCAGCTGCGCGAGGGGAGGGAGATGTGCGTGTGCCTCGTGGTTTACCGAATCTTGTTTCGGCCGTTTTCTTGAAGATCACTCCGCGACCCACACGCTACAGCGCTGTCGTTCAGCAGCAGATGATGTGATATCAGCCACTGACTTGTCATTCCCACTCGCAGTCACTCACCGCTGTCATCGAATTGACTCAAGCTAGCCACAAGTTCTGACTGAGCTCAATCGTCATGAAACGCAAATACAGCGATGAGTTTCTCTCTCTCGGTTTCATACAAACTTTGAGAAATAACGAGGAGCGCCCACAATGTGTTTTGTGCGGGGAAGTGCTTAGTAATGAGTCTCTCAAAACGAACAAATTAAAACGATACGTCCTGACCAAACATCCACAGCATGACGGTTAACCCAGGGACTTCTTTCAGAACAGGGCAGAATGCTTCAGGAAAACAGTGCTTCGACACTGGAAGTGGAAGTCAGCTAGCAAGGCATTGTTATCATTTTATAACAGGTGATGATGACACTGTAAGCAGAAATAAGGGATTACTATCTCTCATAGTAGTCGATGTGAGTTTCTCTTTCAAACAATCCAATTGTACACAGCTAATAGCTAGCTAGCTAACGTTAACGTTAGCCAAAGCAAGCTAGCTAGCTTCTGATACTGCAACCCTAAGTAACAGTACAGATGAAAAATGATCAGGCCTACAGTACATTTTACTGTAGAAATTATTGTTGTTTATTCCAGTTCAGAATGGAAATGATTTATTGTATTATAACAGCAACAGTTCCAACCTAGACAGATATCTAAGAGTGTTTTTAATGGGGAACAATACATATGAATATCTATTTATATGGGTATTTCATTGTTATTTGTTTTTGTCTATATTGCATTTGTTTTAGGCATAAGGGCAATGTAATGTACCCATATTTACATATAGTTGCATGTTTTTATAAGCTTGGGTCCCAGGAAAACACAGAATTTCTAATTTGGGTCCCAGGCTGAAAAAGTGTAAGAACCCCTGATATAGAGACCAGCTGTTGTTTCGCAAGGTATCTACTTGATAATACATTATCCAAGTTATTGATATTTGGTATTGGTATTCAGCAGTCATAAAATGATTCCTTATTTATTTTGAAGAACTATAAAATAGTGATTTGGAATGAAATAATAAAGTATCAAATAAAACAAATGTAATATATACAACGAAAATATTTTATTAAAGTAAAGTAATGTGAATAAATCATGGGACTTTTATTAATTGTTTTATTCTGTGTTGTTAGCATTCAACCCACATAATGCACAATGCATTTAATGTAAAACTGTTTTTATGGAAACAGAAATCGAAAACATTGATACATTTTTTGATAGTCAAACCGAAACCGAACCGACCTCAAAAAGCACTAATCGCTCAGCACTACCATCTAAGCCTCCTTACCTCTCTCCCTGCCCCGTGGTTTCCCTCTGTGAGCCATCATCATATGATGACCCTGGTCACATTGACACAGACTGGATCACAACATAAGGTATGGAAAATTCATAATATCAGATTAAGCATAGATTGAGATAGAAGGGAGTCCAAATGACAGGCGTATAACACATGTCCCCCTCTGAGCTGGTGACTTATATATAGACCACCAGCTGTCTCCCCAAGTGTCCTTTGTGTATTTCCGATCACACATGCCCCCTGTGATACACTCCCACGAGACTAAAGTTATAACCAGGAGCACTTTGGATAAGAATGCCACAGAGGACAATTTATGAAATTCCATTCAATGATATGTGTTAGTAATGTCTGTTCATCGAATGCACTTGGTGAAATAAAACAGTAATTCACTATACTATTGCGTATTCATTTTTAGACTAAACTACTACTACATTTTAGAATTTAGAATGTTTTTTTATTTAATAGTACAGAGGCAAATATCTATGATTCTTTCGCACAGAAATAATTTAATATCAGATTATCAAGCCAACTGAGGGGAAGTCAGGGAGTCATTGTCAAGGTCTTGTTAGTCACTATGTTGTTGCCATCAGTGTGTCTGTGTTGTGTGTTGAGTGTGACAGCAAGGTGTTCCTACACAGGATGTGATTAATTAAGATTACTGACAACTATTTGCAGACTTCAGCTTTAATCTAATCACATTCATGGTATTGGTTCACCGTAATCAAAATAGCTCAGTTAGTCAATGGACAGGACAGACAGAGAAGGACAAACCCAGGAGGCAGACAAAAATACCAGGGTCAGCCTCCATTGCGGTAAACAAAAAAGCACATCCAGATACCAAACACAACAGCAACGATACATGTCACAATACATGGGATCCACAACCCTGTAGCTACAGATATGTATCCTTACTGTATCCACCACAAACACATAAACACAACGTTAAGCACAATGATGTTATGTTATGATAATGAGTAGGAGGCTATTCACCATAAACTTTATTTGAACTGATAATTCTCATTGCCTCCGCTGTTGGTAATATGGTCATTACAGCCAATCTACAGCTGCAGGATCTTAATTTGATCACTTTTGTTGCTGAGAATTTTTCCTGCACGGTGTATTTGAAGTTTAAAATGGCTTCTAAAGTTTGTAATTTCCACTTTAACATGTCAGACTTGATTTCCCCAAACAAAAAATGTATCAACCCCTATATTAACTATAATCCACATAATAATTAGCATTTCCTGTTGCTGCAGGATTATTTTCCTGCTGTAGCAAACTGGCTCAAATTAAGATCCTACATCTGTATCCACGGAAGGGAGAGAATTTAGTTGGGGTGGATGTAGTTGTGCAGGCCAGGGTATGGGTAGATGTGTCTGAGTGGCTTGGTACACCTGGAGCTGTCTCCACTGCTGACCCTGTGGGCACACTCATCACTGTCTGTGTTGCAGGTGCCACAGTGGCAGCTGAGGGCTACGGGGTAGGTGAAGAGAGGGTTGGCATGGAGTGGGCAACCAGGCAGTATGACTGTACGGTACCCCACCTGGTCATAGGTACAGCCTCTCTGGATCAGGAAACGTGGTCCGGCCAGCTCCTTCATATTACTGTCCTGGTTATCACACACAGACACACATGCTAAACATACAGACATTACATGCATGCAATGTAGGTCAAATATGCCTCACGGTCAGCCTGCCAATTGGAATTTTACATAGTTCAAGTTTCAATACATACACTACCGGTCAAGTTTTAGAACACCTACTCATTCAAGGGTTTTTCTTTATTTTTACTATTTTCTACATTGTAGAATAGTAGGGAAGACATCAAAACTATGAAATAACACATATGGATTCATGTAGTAACCAAAAAAGTGTTAAACAAATCAAAATATATTTTATATTTGAAATTCTTCAAATAGCCACCCTTTACCTTGATGACAGCTTTGCACACTTGGCATTCTCTCAACCAGCTTCACCTGGAATGCTTTTCCAACAGTCTTGAAGGAGTTCCCACATATGCTGAGCACTTGTTGGCTGCTTTTGGTTCACTCTGCGGTCCGACTCATCCTAAACCATCTCAATTTGGTTGAGGTCGGGGGATTGTGGAGGCCAGGTCATCTGATGCAGCACTCCATCACTCTCCTTCTTGGTAAAATAGCTCTTACACGGCCTGGAGGTGTGTTGGGTCATTGTCCTGTTGAAAAACAAATGATAGTCCCACTAAGCCCAAACCAGATGGGATGGCGTATCGCTGCAGAATGCTGTGGTAGCCATGCTGGTTAAGTGTGCCTTGAATTCTAAATAAATCACAGACAGTGTCACCAGCAAAGCACCGCTGCACCATAACACCTCCTCCTCCATGCTTTACGGTGGGAAAGACACATGCGGAGATCATCCGTTCACCCACACTGCATCTCACAAAGACACGGCGGTTGGAACCAAAAATCTCCAATTTGGACTCCAGACCAAAGGACACATTTCCACCGGTCTAATGTCTATTGCTCATGTTTCGTGGCCCAAGCAAGTCTCTTCTTATTATTGGTGTCCTTTAGTAGTGGTTTCTTTGCTGCAATTCGACCATGAAGGCCTGATTCACACAGTCTCCTCTGAACAGTTGATGTTGAGATGTGTCTGTTACTTGAACTCTGTGAAGCATTTATTTGGGCTGCAATTTCTGAGGCTGGTAACTCTAATGAACATATCCTCTGCAGCAGAGGTAACTCTGGGTCTTCCATTCCTGTGGTGGTCCTCATAGCGCTTGATGGTTTTTGCGACTGCACTTGATGGAACTTTCAAAGTTCTTGAAATGTTTCGTATTGACTGACCTTCATGTCTTAACGTAATGATGGACTGTCGTTTCTCTTTGCTTATTTGAGCTGTTCTTGCCATAATATGGACTTGGTCTTTTACCAAATTGGGCTATCTTCTGTATACAAACCCTACCTTGTCACAACACAACTGATTGGCTGAAATGCATTAAGAAGGAAATAAATTCCACAAATTAACTTTTAAGAAAGCACACCTGTTAATTTAAATGAATTCCAGGTGACTACCTCATGAAGCTGGTTGAGAGAATGCCAAGAGTGTGCAAAGCTGTCATCAAGGCAAAGGGTGGCTATTTGAAGAATTTGTTTAAAACTTTTTTGGTTACTACATGAGTCCATATGTGTTATTTCATAGTTTGGATGTCTTCACTATTATTCTACAATGTAGGAAATAGTAAAAATAAAGAAAAACCCTTGAATGAGTAGGTGTTCTAAAGGTTTTGACCGGTAGTGTATATTTTATAATCTCTTCTCCAATGCAAAACATATAATTCATACATGGTATGTTGTAAAATTGACCTTGTGTGACGCGTACTGAGTATACGAAGAGGCAGGACTCAGACGCAGGAATTAACAAGGTCAAGGTTTACTCAACAATGAGCAAGAGAAATAACAAAGAATAGAGTAAATGACACAAAGCTTAACAATCACACACAACATCATCCAGAACAGTCCAGGGCTAAATAGGGGTGGTGATGAGATGATGAGATGATGAGGTGCAGGTGCGCTGGAGGTGATTAAGGTGCGTTGGGTTTCCATTCCAGTGTTGCCAAGGTGGTGCGCTCCGAACGGTGGCTCAGTAGACCGGCGAATCAGAGCACCGGAGGGGAGCAACGGGAGGAGACGTGACACCTTGTATGTAACTACTAGTGTCCTGCTATTATGGCCAGGTCTGTCTTGTAAAAGAGTATGCTAAATCTCAATGAGACTACGCTGATAAAATAAAGGTAAAACAAAACATGTTTTTGTGGGAGGATAAACGTTTATAACTCAGTGAATTTTACAGATCCACTTTTTTGGGGGAAAACTTAGAATGTCAAGTTCAGCTTGTAGCCTGCTTATCCTTGAGTAGCAGAAACCCATGCAAATGGTAGTATTGATGGCCATGCAGAAGTCACATTCATGTCTCTCCTCATACAGAGTGTAGTCCGTGGGCACACACATGGGGACAGCTTGGCTGAACAGCAGGCAAAGGAGACCACAAATGGCCACAGGCGATTCCATTTGACAAGCAGCGACAACTTTCCGTCACACAATCAAGAACCTGCGTGGAATTAAAGTAAATGGCAAGAAGAAAATATGAACAAATCTATAGTTTTATAGTTGGAAATATGAACAAATATATATATAGTTAGTAAATCTATCAAATCAATAGAGGTTTGTACATTTGATAAGCCATTTAAATGAAATAAAACTTGTTCCTGCAGCAAGGCTGCACCAATAGCAGGCAAAAGTAGCAGATCAGCTCTGCTCACTCACCTGGTAGAGCTGGGCACCTGCAGGCCTGATGATGCTGTCTGATGATGCTGCCTGATGATGCTGGCTGATGATGCTGTCTGATGCTGCCTGATGGTCTTTATACAGGCATTCTAATCCACCGTGATCCTACTGGACCATTATCTCTATCTCTGACAGAGTGGAATCAGGAGTCTCCAGGTCCATTATCAGGATGACATGCATAAGGACATTTTCATTTACATTTTTGTCATTTAGCAGACGTTCTTATCCAGAGCGACTTACAGTTACATTCATCTTAAGATAGCTAGGTGGGACAACCACAAACCACAGTCATAGTAAGTACATTTTTCCTCAATAAAGTGGCTATCAGCAAGTCAGAGCTAGAAAGCGGGAAAAAAAGTCAAGTTAGTTCATGAAAGGCTAAATAGTTTTTTTATATAATAGGCATCCTCCGTAACTACAAACTTCCATTACCAGTACACTGATGTGTGGGGTTAACCTGTAATAACCTCATAATGACCCCGTTTTTTGGCAGTCACATCCTGTACTGCAGTATGTGGCAATCTCACTGGGTGGCACAATAGAAAAGGATGTGGTGAAGTCCGATTGGCCCGGTCCAGAAACAACCCCAAACCCAACTCCTAGATAAGAGTGTCTGCTAAATGACTCAAATGTAAATGTTCTTCTGATCTAGGAATGTGATCTGTTAAGTATGGGGTCTACAATATGGTGGAAATTCCACCAAACCTGTCAGAGGGCAAAGTGGAGATGCAACCATAAGCTTGTCCAATTATTTCTGATCTACATGTTCCTATACGTCATGTGGGGCCGGCATTATGACCTTAGGGGGCCTGGCCCGCCCTACCATACCTTGCGTGTAAAAACGTGCCCCCCTATGGAAATCAAATGCCCGTCCAACTGATTCGTTCTGGTGCCAAGGGGCTAGGTGTTATTTCTAGATATAGGCCTACTTTTGTTGTTTTGTTACACTTTCAGTTGGTTAGAAAAATATGTGACGGTGTGTTTTAAAATAACAAAATAACAATCTACAAGCTATCATGTGTTCTCAAATAGGGTCAAAGTTCATTCAATGCCATAAATATGTGTAGCCTGATATATTATCACTATGCTTTCAAACATTTAAAAGCACAACAAAGTTCAAATGGGAATACAATGTCAGATATTTTGTTTATTTATACAACAACTTAATGTGTTATCACTGTGCTTCATCTAATACCACAACCAAATTTCCTGGATTGCAGTTGAGATTACCTTAAAGTACATGGTGCAAGTGATCAATGCCATTTAAGATTCTGTGCAGATTATTATAGCAATAAAGATTTCCACAGACCTGCGATCCTGAACATGCACGCATTCAATGATTACATAAAAATACATTTATTGTTACAGTAGCCTCAAAATGTCGCCATGGATGTGTTACTCATTTTAAGGTTGAATAAAAAATACTGTTACCTTAATTTGTAAAATAGCCTAAGAATTAGGCTATTTACTGTCTTACAAAATTAAGATTGAATTTAACCAAACACCAACATTTAAAGGAGCTGTATCTACTGCTTGTACAGTTAGATCTTAGCCACTGACTTAATCCTATTCTTTTATTTCTTTAACTTTTATTTTTGGTTGAGATGGAGACGTGAATCCAACATATAATTTGTTAACTTGTTGACAAGTTGCAAAAGTGATATTGAATTGTGTTTGGTTGTCAACGCAACCAAATATCAACATTTGAAGATGTTTCTTCTGCTTGGATAGCTCCATCTGTGACACTGAGTCTGGCTTTAATTCCAGTTTGTCTACAAATTAATAATCGATATGTTGGATTCGTGTCTCCATTGCAACCAAAAATTGAAGTTAAAGAATAGGACTTAATAAAATCTAATCAAACTTTAAATGCACTTATCCTATTTAACCTTGATTTTTAGTTGAGATGGCGACGTGAATCCAACAGATTTATTATTAACTTGTAGATTCCATTTGAAATGAACCAAAGCTTGAAACCCTAGGCCTATATGTATTGTCTATTTTGACGGGAGTGGAATCCTAAAAATCTGTCCATGCTACAATTCAGCAATAAGCAGACCAAGTGGGGATTTTTTGTATGGAGGTCTACAGAGAGCAATACTAATGACATATTTTTGTAGGCACTAACTTTGCCATGGCTCGTTGGTCAAAACCTATTGGGAAATTAATTGAGTTTTTGGAGGGTTTTTGGATAAACGCTGAAAAGGTCTGTGGTAAACACAGGCTTAGGTGATCTTATACGTTTTGTTCTATAACATAATCTTCACCAGCTAACGCCACTTTTTGTGAATTTTGAAGCATTTTCGTAATTAAAACAAGCACATAAAGGCTTCATAATTCATGAAGTTCATGTTAACTTACGCTTGGTCCCTTCTAGCCATGACCCTCTCGCTTCGCCTCTTCCTCTCTTCCTGAGCTATGCTCCTCTTACCATGCATGTGCTTTATGCTTCCCGCCAATTCGGGCACATTCATTGTTTCATTATGTGAATAATTTTGCTTTTGTTTGTTACATTTGTGTAAATTCCTGGCTAAATATATCACAGTTGTGAATTTTCCATTCATCATGTAATTTCCCATTAGCCTAATGTAGAATGTTTGCTTATGGTAATTCGGTTCATTAGGCTACATTTTAGTTAGCTACCGTTCTCATTCTTAGTTGTTTGCAGGGCCCACAAACATGATACACTTGAGCAAGATGTTTAGGTTTATTTATTTCCATTTGAGAGTTTTCTGTCAATTCCTTCAATGTTTTTCATTTGGAGTGCTCCATGTGTACTGTACATGTGTCTGCTTCTTCAGCTATTCAGTGAGCGTGTTTGCACCTGAGCGCTCATAGAAATACATTTGGGAGTCAGTAGGCCTACTGAGTTGAGATAAAATAATAGTGTTCAGTTTGTGAAGTTCTATGAACTGTGATGATATGTTATGAAGTCTGGTGTAGACTCAAATTTAGCAGGTTTTCATCATGAATCTTGTTCTGGAGGCAGCTCAGCAGAGTATTCACTAGCTGGTACAGCCACAAAGTCATACAATCTGATTTTTTCACCCAACCTTTAACCTAAATCCAATGACAGGGTCACATTTTTGGTTGATTTCACGTTGAATTCACGTTAGCTGACAATTCAACCAAATGTAAATCAAAACCTAAAAGGTTATCCGTCTGTCCCCAGAGGAGAACCCTTTGGAGAACCCTTTTTGGTTCCAGAGGGTTCTACATGAAAGCCAAAATGGTTCTTCCTGGAACCAAAAAGTGTTATCCTATGGGGACAGCCGAAGAACCCTTTTGGAACTTTTTTTCTTTCTAAGAGTGTAGATGTTGACTTGACGTGTGCCCTGTTCTATCAGGCTTATTTTCATCTGAAATCTTTATTATTATACCCAGTCCTCTTGTCTGTCCCAATGTCCAAATGCCATGTTGGCTTTCTCCTTGTTTTTTTGGACACAATCTTAAATAAACTTAACCCAACTGTAAAATCTATGTGCTTGATTGGCATGTAGTAAGCCCTCAATGCTGCCGTCCACAACATGTAATAATCTACTGCATTGATGGGAACAGATAGCCAATATCCAGCCGTCAACAGTTTTACACCAATCCTGGATTGTCCCTTATCTCCAAGTGTTTTCATTTTAAGTTAATGATTGTGGAGAGGATTATCCCTGTCTCTCAGATTCGTGTAAGGTTGTAACTGAGAGGACTTTGTTTTTGATGGTGGCTTATCTACCATTTCACACTAAAACAAATGTTACTGAAATGAATGCAATCTGTGGATAGGAGCATTACAGTTTGAGTCCTTGAGTGATTCAGTATCCATATTTTCCTAAAAACTGGACATTGTCTTCTCTTTCAACAAGTGCTTATATCTATCTATATGTACTAGAGTTGTTTTTCCAACATACTGACTCAAGCAATGGGATGGAATGGCTTATCTATGGCTGATCTATGACTGCATGTTTTGTTCTATCTCAAAGCTGACTTTCTGGAAAGTCTAATCAGTCAAATGTTGAACAATCTGGTCTTGGAGTCCATATGTACTGGAGGATTTATTGTTGCAGAACCCTTCTCATTCTTCGACAGTCACAACCGTGTCAGGCTGACCATGCATGGTGTTCTACCATTAAAACTATAACAATCGTTCTATTGGACGGTAGATCAGCCGGCGGGTCAAACACACTTCATGAAGTCAGATATAAGGATCATTCCGTTTTACAATCTTGGAAGGCAGTGCAGTGAATTCTGTATATTTTGTCCTTGGGTGATGATTAACTAAAGCTGTGTTTATGGTTAGCCGACACCAAGAGTGTGTTCTTCCATGCTTCTGTTAGGACAAGGGGACCACACAAGGAAGTCTTGCTCAACAGGAGGATGCATTGCTAGTAGTTCTCAACTTTATTCAACCTCAACAAGTAAGAAAGACTTAACAAATAGGAATATTGGACATTTGTTCTTGGGATTCTAGGACGTTTGTATAAGGACGTTTCTTTCCATTGTGGATGTCTATTGTAAATGTCAAAGAACTGCAATAATCCCAACATTTTCTCCATATTAATACATTCCTGAGGTGCTTATCTAGTTGACTGAGAATTGATTTGCTATTTTGTTTTCTTGGAAGACTGAAAAAAGGTTGGCCTCAATTTTAACTAAATTGATTTATTTTGACATTCTTGATCAAATCAAATATTCCTTTTCTACTTAGTGAAAGTTAAATATCAATACTACACCTGTTCTGTAATTCACATACCATTCATCTGATTGAATTGTAAATAGGAAAAATAGTGTGCATTGGAAAGAAAGGAAATTAAACATTAGCAACATTGCCTAACATTCAACCAGTAAGATCTAACTGGCGACCAGTGGGTGAAAGCGGTTAGATAGTAAAGATAAAATAAGTGTTGGTCTCTGCCTGAGGGATCTCTTCTGGACTCATTAACCATGACGACGGGTACAGGGGGCCCAGTGGCCTCGTTCTCTGTGTGGGACTATGTGGTGTTTGTGGGCACAGTCCTGGGGGCGGCCGGAATCGGCCTGTTCCAAGCCATCCGGGGCCGCAAGAACACCAGCAGCGATGAGTTCCTGCTGGGGGGCCGTCAGATGACAGCGGTGCCCGTCGCCATGTCCCTCACTGCCAGCTTCATGTCTGGCATCACTGTGATCGGCACGCCAGCAGAGGCCTATCGGTTTGGGGCGGCCTTCTGGACCTTTGGCATCTCCTATGCCATCATGTCCATCATCACCGCCGAGATCTTCGTCCCTCTCTTCTACCGCCTGGGCATCACCAGCACCTACGAGGTACTGTAAGGAGATATACCAGGCTGGGTCAGACCCAACTGTGTCAAATACATATACAGTATGTCAAACACTTTAAAACATTTGAGGTGCAAATTGCTTGGCGATTCCTTTGGGTCCATTGTATCGTGGATGGAGATAAAGGGGAACTTGGGTAAGAGGTGCATGAATTAAGATGAATCAGCAGGGAGTGGTGAAGATGAGAGGGTGTGCTCTAAAATGTCCAGCAGTTGTAATTTAATAATTCATCACTGAACCGTGAAAACAATCTAATCCAGGAGGGGTGTCAAGCTGTTACATCTGTTACATTCAGCATCTATGAGGAAATATGTGACTAGTTTCCATTAAAGTAAATAAAAGTATTTCATTTGTTTTGAGCACAAAGCAACCATATAGCAGGTTGGCATTTATTGGGATGAGTCATGTACAGAAGGCAGCTCTCAGGGTAGTCACAAAGTCATAAAATCTGATTTTAAACCTAACAATAATCTTAACCCTAACCTTAACCACACTGCTAACCTTATGCCTAATGCTAACCTTAACCCTAACCTTAACCACACTGCTAACCTTATGCCTAATGCTAACCTTAACCCTAACCTTAACCACACTGCTAACCTTATGCCAATTGCTAACCTTAACCCTAACCCTAACCTTAACCACATTGCTAACCTTATGCCTAATGCTAACCTTAACCCTAACCTTAACCACACTGCTAACCTTATGCCTAATGCTAACCTTAACCACACTGCTAACCTTATGCCTAATGCTAACCTTAAATTAAGACCAAAAAAGGTCATTTTTGTTTTCATATTTTTTTACAATATAGAGCCAATTTTGACTGCAGCTGGCAAATCTAGTGGAAATCACTCATTTCTGCCTCCAGGACAAGATTAATCCCAATAAACATCAACCTGCAACCATTTATGACTTGAACAAAACAGCTGTAGACCTGCAGATAGACAGACTACTGAAAGTCTATGGGTCTTTCTTCATCATCACTTCTTGACCAGGAAGTGTAAAAAGACAATGAAATCAGGCCAGGTTTGACTGAAATGTTTATTTTCTCTGTAGTATCTGGAGATGCGTTTCAACAAGTTGATTCGGATGATCGGGACCACCATGTACATCATACAAACGGTAAATATTCAGTAAACATCATGAAAATGGGACAACAGGGTACATCTTAATGAAGCTAATGTTTTCCTAAGGATATGGTGGAAACAAAAATCTCAATAATACATTAACTACAAAAAATTGCAACATCTGCCCTTGTCCTTTTTTCCACTGCCTGATTTCAGGAAGCCATCTGGGCATCTAAGGTAAACATTCCACTTTATGAATGTGCATCAAGCATATGTCAACTAATGGCTGAGTTTGTTTCAGGCCCTGTACACTGGTATGGTCATCTACGCCCCAGCTCTTGCGCTCAATCAAAGTAAGTCATATGCAAAGTATCTCTGTAATGTCCCTTAAATGAATCAAAACAATATTATTATCTGAGTGTTGACTGAAGGTCAATCTCTGGACCAGACTGATGATACATCTTTAGCTAATTAAATTGGTCTGTGATCTGCCAATAAAGGTATTGTCTAATTGCTTATCAATTGATGCTAACAGCAGCACGAAAGAGGATATGCAGATGTTGTTAGGCTAAGTGATAATATCACAGAGAATTCATATGTATCTATGCTGAACAAAAATATAAATGCAACATGCAATAATTTAAAAGATTTTACTGAGTTACAGTTCATATAAGGAAAACAGTCAATTGAAATAACTTAATTAGGCCTTAATCTATGGATTTGACATGACTGGGAATACAGATATGCATCTGTTGGTCACAGATACCTTAAAAAAAATGGGCCTCCCATCAATAAAATGCAATTGTGTTCGTTATCCGTAGCTTATGACTGCCCATACCATAACCCCACCGCCACCATGGGGCACTCTGTTCACAATGTTGACATTAGCAAACCGCTCGGCCACACGACACCATACACGTGGCCTGTGGTTGTGAGGCCGGTTGGACGTAAAGCCAAATTCTCTTAAATGATGTTGAAGGTGGCTTATGGTAGAAAAATTAACATTCAATTATCTGGCAACAGCTCTGGTGGACATTCCTGCAGTCACCATGCCAATTGCACGCTCCCTCAAAACTTGAGACATCTGTGGTATTGTGTTGGGTGACAAAACTGCACATTTTAGAGTGGCCTTTTATTGTCCCCAGCACAAGGTGCACCTGTTTAATGATCATGCTGTTTAATCAGCTTCTTGATATGTCACACCTGTCAGTTGGATGGATTTTCTTGGCAAAGAAGAAATGCTCACTAACAGGGATGTAAACACATTTGTGCACAACATTTGTGAGAAATAAGCTTTTTTGTGCGTATGGAAAATGTCTGGGATATTTCATTTCAGCTCATGAAACATAGGACCAACACTTTACATGTTGCGTTTATATTTTTGTTCAGTGTAGTTTCAGCTCATGGAAACAATTGTATTATTTGGAAAAGTTGTGTAAACGGGTCTGTGCCTCTGTGTGTTTCAGTCACAGGGCTGAACCTCTGGGGAGTGCTGGTGGCCACTGGGGTCGTGTGTATCATTTACTGCACCCTGGTCAGTGGCTCATCTGATCTCACACACTCACAATCAGCAATCAACTTCACGCTATAACAATATACATTTGAATATTGCGTTTTTATTTTTATTAGGATCCAAATTAACTGACGCCATAATGTCAGCTAGTCTTCCTGGCGTCCAACACAGAACTTAAAAGACATTACAAACAATTACATTTACATTAAGACATTACCAACATTTAACAAGTATACATTACAGACCAAAGCCAGGAGTTTTTCCTGACCCCATGACATGACCATGTAGGGAAAACTCTCAGCCCCAGTTATGGGCAATTACTACTGTAGGGTCCAGGCTTTTTCCTGGTCAGGTCACTGGGTCAGGAAACACACTTAAACCTACACATGAACATACCTCTGGTGCACATGAGGTTGCAGCATACCTTCCTTCCTCTGACTCCATGTTGTATTGTGGTTCTCAGGGAGGTCTGAAGGCGGTCATATGGACAGACGTGTTCCAGATGGTGATCATGTTAGCAGGCTTCGTGGCCGTCATCGCCAGAGGGGCTGTCATCCAGGGAGGTCTGGGGAAGATCTGGGATGACTGCTACCAAGGAGGCAGGCTCAACATGTTTGAGTAAGTAAAATGTCCACACGTCATGCAGGGATTAAATAACTACACTGATCAAATGAATTACCACCGCAGTATGACTCCTCATAGTTAGCTGAGGATTTTCTCTTTAATACCTTCTAATGCAGTTTTGATCCAGACCCTTTGAAGCGTCACACGTTCTGGACGATCGTGGTTGGTGGCAGTGTGATGTGGGCATCCATCTACTCCATCAACCAGTCCCAGGTGCAGCGTTACATCTCCTGCAAAACCCTAACCCAAGCCAAACTGTGAGTGGCACTCTTACCTTCCACAATCACAACATACAGGAAAAGCTGTGCGTGAAGAATAGCAATATGAGTGTTTGTTCCATGTTGGCTTTTCTTTAAAACCCACAGGTCACTGTATGTGAATATGATTGGTCTCTGGGTGACTGTGAGCTTAGCAGTGTTCTCCGGCCTCACCATGTACTCCATTTACAAGAACTGTGATCCACTCACTAATGGTGATGTAGGGGCACTTGATCAGGTCAGTGAGACAGCTATGACTCTTACACAGGCATGGACAGTGCTGTACTATGGCAGTGTAATCAAATGTTAGTGGGTGGGGTCTATAGTTGTCTTATTTCACAATGCATATTGTGTGAGGCATTAAGGTGTGGTATGTGTGTGTGGGATTAATAGTGTGTGTGTGTGTGTGTGTGTGTGTGTGTGTGTGTGTGTGTGTGTGTGTGTGTGTGTGTGTGTGTGTGTGTGTGTGTGTGTGTGTGTGTGTGTGTGTGTGTGTGTGTGTGTGTGTGTGTGTGTGTGTGTGTGTGTGTGTGCGTGTGTTTGTAAACAAGCTGCTTCCATACCTGGTGATGGACATCCTGGCAGCCTATCCTGGAGTCCCTGGGTTGTTTGTTGCGGCAGCATACAGTGGTACCCTGAGGTGAGTATACTCCAGGGGAACCCAAATAGAGAAGGTCCGCTGACACAAATCTTGCAGGTCCGGACAGTTATAGTCATTTATCGGCGTAGTAACAAACCCCTACCTCGCAACCACTCCCCTGCTCTGTGTCCGGAACCGGATTACGGACCGTCTATTGCGTATGGCTGGTATACACTAACAAACACACGCAATCTTCCACTACTTTTACGACTGACCTGTCAATTAATGTGTTTAACCATGACTTCCTTCTCTGTCTCTTCTCCTCATCTATTGTCATTGCGTCTGTTTCAGTACTGTGTCATCCAGCATCAATGCGCTGGTGGCTGTCACTGTGGAGGACTTCATCAGGCCAGTGTACAAAAACCTGACAGATAAACAGGTGACCTGGATGAACATGGGCCTCAGTGAGTTTCACACAAAACACTGTATGTAAGACTAGCAAAATTATATGTGGGTTCGTTCAAATAGCAATGTCACACAAATAATGGTCAGTTTGACATTTTTTGAGGTATGTACATTATATGTAATTACTTTAAATGAAAATATATTTGTAATCATGATATGTATATGGAATATTAAATTACCTTTGCACCTATTCCAGGTGTTTTCTTTGGATTTCTGTGCATTGGGATGGCTGCAGTAGCTTCACTGATGGGGAGCATTCTGCAGGTAGGAAAACTATATAATCAGAAGTGGCTCCGTAGCACCACCTGCTGTCTGGCATTGGTCACTTCTACTTTATGTATCTAACGGTTGTCTCTTTTCAGGCAGCCCTGTCCATATTTGGAATGATCAGTGGCCCTCTTCTTGGGCTTTACCTCTTAGGCATGTTCTGGCGTACAGCAAACTCAACAGTAGGTATCCCCAATCGTATTCATATCACTGTCATCATTCATACTCAAAGAATGATTTACTCATTTATTCAAATTTATATTAATAACCAGAAACACTACAAATGTCCTGACATACAAAGATTTTGGTAGTTGAATACAAAACAACGCTAAAGTTTAGATAATATAATGGCATAGAAATGTAATGTATCTTTATGAGTAAGACTGAGACTGAGACTGCTTCCTTGTGCGTTGCAGGGGGGACTCACAGGGCTGATTGTGGGCCTTGTGATTACCCTGTGGGTGGGGATTGGGGCGCAAATATACCCACCCTTAGCTGATAAAACCAACCCCCTGCCAATCAGTGTGGCAGGCTGTAACCGCACACAGGACCTGAACTACACCACCCTGGCCCCATGGACCAGCGCAGTAACACTGACCCCTCTGCCTGAGTGAGTTACTCACGGTCACTTTATAATCACTGTCTCCAAAGTCACCCTATTTCACATATAGTGCACAACTTTTGACCAGAGTCCTATGGTGCTTATAGCACAAGGCTAATGTGTTAGCACAAGGCTAATGTGTTAGTGGGGGCTCAGGTATGACGCTTCCTCTTGTTACAGTGACCGGCCAGCTCTGGCAGACTCGTGGTACTCCCTCTCCTACTTGTACTTCTGCCTTCTGGGCACTCTGTTGACTGTGATCGTGGGCTTGGTGGTAAGCGCTATCACAGGTGAGGCTACCTCCTTTAGCTCCAACCCTAACAGCATAGTGTATGATAAGAGTTATTTTGACCGCGTGACCTGACCAGGACAAACTTTACATTTGACATTTAGGTCATTCAGCAGACTCTCTTATCCAGAGCCACTAGGGTTAAGTGCCTTGCTCAAGGGCAAAGACAGATTTTTCACCTAGTCAGCACGGGGATTTGAACCAGTGACCTTTTGGTTACTGGCCCAGCGCTCTTAACCGCTAGGCTACCTGCTAAACTCTAGTGCTAGTTGTTCCTGGTCAGGTCTGTTAAAGGAAAGATTCCTGGCCCTAGGCATAACGACATCGGCTGGTTCATTTTTTAAAAACATTTTAGTCATTTAGCAGACGCTCTTATCCAGAGCGACTTACAATTAGTGAGTGCATAGATTTTTCATACTGGCCCCCCATGGGAATAATATTGTATGCAGTTAGTTAAACGCGACGTCTCCCTGTGTTGTGTCTGTCCAGGTGGCTGCAAGCAGGAGAAGCTAAGCTCAGATCTCTTTGTAAGGAGAAGTGATCTATTCTGTGCTGGCTGTGGCAAGGACTCAGAGGTAAAGCTTCTCCCCCCCACACCACCGCACTTCTCTCTCTCATACTGTAGGCCTACATCTGTATTAAATGTTCTGAGTGTTACAGTTTCGCGATTGCTAAGACACATTTCTTGAAACCTTCACCCATTTTCTCAAAACTTTAAACACAAAACCAAATCTTCAAACTACATTCACAAAACCCCTGACTCTTCTGGCAAAATCAAACAATCGCCTCAAAACCATTTAATCTGTGCTCAAAATCAAACAATGCTTTCAGATCATACACACAGCCAGTCAATATATAAACACTACATCAAAAAAAGGGAGAACACAGCGTCCAGGGCATGTAGTTACAGATTTTTTGTATTTATTGTATATAGTAAACGTATTTTGCAATTAAAACAAAAAGTATAATAATCACAACTTAGTACAGTGAATATATTGTATACTGTAAGTACTGCAAGTAATACAGTATTGAATGTCTGTATATTCAGCACTTGCATAAAAATACAGTAGTCCAACTGCAAAAGCCCAAAGAGCAAAGAAAACTCTAAATGAAAAGCACATTATAGTACACTCAAAAATATTGTGCAACTGCGAAATCAAAGTCAATGAGAGATTCATTCTGCCTCAGCATCACGTCTTTGTGCTGGTTCCGGCCAGAGGACTTCGTCCACGTCACAGGCAACGTTGTCCCTTGCCAGACAACGGGGGAAAAACCCTCTGGTGTGCCGGATCCAGCCTTGACAACACTCCACACCTATGTCACCACAGGCCAATTACATTGCCTGTAAGAGATTTTCCCTGGTATATGGGTTTCGGTCATAGACCTTCCACCGCCACACAGAGAAAAACTATTCCATTGGGTTGTGGAAAGGGCTGTATGGTGGAAGGCAAACATTTATGAATCGCTGGTTGATGTTGAACCACTCGTGTATCCGGACACCACGGTGAAAGCTGACATTGTCCCAAACCACGACATAGACAGGATGCACTGCCTGCTGATGATCCTGCTGCTCACGCTAAAACAAAACATCCCGAAGACCACCCAGAAATGTAGGAAGATGTTCAGTGTTATATGGCCCCAGGGTTGCATGACGGTGGAGAACCCCACGATTACTTATGGCTGCACAAAGGGGGACTTTGCCACCACGCTGGCCAGGGACTTCCACAATGGCACATTGGCCAATTATGTTCCTGCCTCTCCTTCTCCTCGTCGCCAGATTGAACCCTGCTTCATCTACAAAAATGTATTCATGGAGACTTTCCATGGAATCCAATTCAAACACTCTCTCTATATAAAAATAGATAAATAAGTAGTTTAGTAAGTGATACAGAAAGACAGACTTCTGCAATAGTGCATTTGTATGCACTCCTGATTTACATACACTACAATATAGTGCAGTTTACAGTAACAGTAGGCTAGTAGCATAGCACTGTAAGCATCAGTGCTGAAAGTGTCTGAGTGTACACTTACTTGCACATACTGAAATCGTAGATCTTTGACCCTTTCTGAGTTGCGCTCAAAGTGTACTCTGTACACTTGCTTCATGCGTACCCTGTTGCGCTGGAGGACACGGTCAATGGTAGAAAGGCTGACACTGTTGATTCCTTCAAAGTTTACATTGTGTTCAACAACTCTTTGCTGTATTTCACGCAGTCGGATGGCATTGTTTTGAAGGACCATATCAACAATGAGAGCCTCTTGCTGTTGGGAGAACATAGCAGGCCTTCCACCCTCATGTGGTAGTCTTGCAATTCTACAAAACGGGAAAATGCACTTACAAACGTATGCATACAGTAAAAATAGTTATGGACATTACTTCTATACGTAAAATATTGTATGGTAAGAAAATTATTCTTTTTTTCCCCCAGTCCCCTTTCTATTGACAAAGTGATGTACTGAATCAAATGTATACAGTAAACTTTCAATGACCCAAATAAAAATAAACAATGACCTGTTCTCTTCTCTGAATGTCCTGATTATGGTGGCCACAGAGAATCTGCTCAAATTGGGTTGTACTCTTTGTCCTGCTTCCCTCATTGTCATTCCATGAACAACAACATGGTCTATCACAGTTGCTCGAATTTCTTCTGAAATTACTGTTCTTGGTCTTGCTCTTCCTCGTACTCTTCCACCACCTCTTACACGTACTCTTCCTCCTCTGCCTCTCAGATTGTTTCCATCCATTGTTGGTATCAACATTCAATGCACCTGTGCCACCTGTGCACTCTGAACTGGCTTATATTCTGTACAATTGGTTTGATCACATCATTAGAAACAAGTGTGAACAATTTGGAGTCGATGTGTGTAAACGATGACAACTGTGTTGTAGTTGATTTTAACTTTTGCCGCCTGTGTTTACCATTTTGTAACACAAGTGCATCACAGTGCGAAATGTGTTTTAGTGAGTGAGAATGTGTTTAGAGTTTTGCAAAAAGAGTGATTGATTTGACAAATGGGTTTAGGCCACTGAGCATTTGGTTCAGAGAATGGGGTTTAGTGTTTTAGCAATTCAGAAAAACTAACTGGATCCCGGTGTGGTCTTTCGTATCTACTGTATCTTAGTCCATGCCGCTCTGTCATTGCTTGTCGATATATGTATATATTCTTAAATTCCATTCCTTACTAGATGTGTGTGTATTGGGTATATGTTGTGAAATTGTTAGGTATTACTTGTTAGATATTACTGCACTGTCGGAGCTAGAAGCACAAGCATTTCACTACACCCGCAATAACATCTGCTAAACACGTGTAGGTGACAAAGAACATTTGATTTGATTTGATTTGTGTGTCTTCTGCAGGCATCAGAACCTGAGGTAAATGAAAAGGCTGGGTCAGAGCTGAAGAAGGGATCAAACAATGCTGGATTCCAAGACTCTCAGTTTAACATTATGGAGAAGGATGTGGAGAAGGTCACTAAAATGTGATGCTGCCGCCAAGCTAAATACACTCTGTCAGCTGGAGTGCTCCAAGAGAACGATTTTTCCTCTCACATTTAGATTCTAGTTTTATTGTAATTAAATTAATTGCTAAGAGAAGGAACCTCAAGTGTGTAATAATGCAGTTTGATCCAGTTGATCAACTAGCTAGCCCATGTTAGCTAGGTAGACCTGTATGTTAGGCTAACCAGCTATCTAAATCTTATAGTTATCATGGCCAGATTACTTGCCCAGGTGCCTCGATCCCCAGGGGGCCTCCACTGATTTTGTAGAGTCACTAAAGTATCATATGAACACACATAGGACATGGCAAAATGTGTATAATTGCAGGAAATTAGCTTTAAAACTGCAAAATGTTCTCTAAACCAACAAGAGGGGTGTGAACAGTTTAGGGCCCCATGGGTTGTGAGGTGGGGGTTGGTTACTATCCTGATAAATGACAACATCCATCCTGACCTTTGCCACCTAGGAAATGTGTGACCTTCTCAAATAGTAGTTGAGTATCCCTGACCTAGGCCATGGGAAGGGTACTGCAATGTAAAGCAATATTTTAATGTATACAGCACTTGTTGTAAGGTAGGACTTTTCAACAATGTGTTAAGATTTAAAATTAAATTATTTAAATAAATACATAAATTAAAATGTAAATCTAACTTAATTGTCACTACAAATAAGCATATGCAGTTCATATGTAATCATTGATTTTGTGTTTACAGCACTTTAGGCTGACATGACATTTTACTGTATATAATTTTAATTTTGTGGATAGAAAGATTGTGCTGAAATGTATACCTGTTTGCTTGCTTGATTTGGCTGTGATTGTACTTTTTGGGATTTGTTTTTTAAATTATCATGTTGTTTTCATAAACACGCTTGGTTCAATGCAATGAGCTAGACAAGGCAAATGCATACTTATTTCTAAACAGGTTAGGAGTGCAAGTTATGTAACTGTATCTTGTATGCATCACATGCATCTTTACAAAGGTGACTATATTAATTGTGTAAGGACAGACGCTTGGAGACGAGAAGCAAGTACAGGGAGTGAACATTTAATGAAAAAACTGACAGGAACAAAACACAGACAGCGTCTGCACAACGGAAACGAAACAACATTAATGCAGACACGGGGATCAAATTGAGGAACAGACAGATATAGGGGAGGTAATTAAACAGTGATGAAGTCCAGGTGAGTCCAATGAAGCACTGACGCGCGTAACGATGGTGACAGGTGTGCGTAATGATGGGCGCGAGGGGGAGCGGAAGTTGTACTACATTCGCCAAAATTCGAAGTATAAAAGTAGTGGACACTATTTTCATGCTTTTATGGCCCTCAATGCAATTCTTCACAACATTTTCAGATTTTAAGAAAATGTCGGAAAATATGCAGCCGATGTCCAACGAGAACGGATAGAAATGTAAGTACAAAAAGTTAATATTCATTGCTTGTAATATAAAAGCAATGACTTTTAAAATAAGTTACATTATGCGCTATGTTGGCTGACAATTTGTTGGCTACGCTAGCCTTACGAACCACATAGCATATTATGTATGTACCGGTATGTTAGCTAGCTAACGTTAGTTGGCTGCTAATACATGGAATTTGCTAGTTTATTAACTATATGCTATCTAACTAACTACTCAACGTTTGGCCTAATATGCGGTTGGTAGCTAATCCTTTTAAACACGATTTATGTAACGTTAAATTGCCACAGGTTTATCTAAAAAGTGTGTCTATTTAACCGTAGGGATTGATGACAACACCGCAAAGTTGATCAACTGGCGGGCCAGAAACTAATTCCGGTTCACAGGCTGTGAAGGGGTTTGCGTGAGCAGCTGAATTGCACAGCATCCTTGCCAACCAACAGACAATTAAGAAAGTGACCACAGAAGACTACCGCTCACTTCACTGCTCTCTCGTGGGCAAAACATTTTAGTGGCCCCCCTCTTGATGGCGGAGAAACATGTTAACGTTTTAAAGTGAATTTCCTGCAATTCTACACATTTTGCCATGGGGTGAAGAAGAGAAAGTGTTTCAGTTTTAAAGCAAGTTTCCTGCAGTTCTACACATTTTGCCATGGGTCGGAGAGAAAATGTTGCAATTTTATAACAAATTTCATGCAATTCTACACATTTTGCCAACATTTTGTTGTTGCAGTTTTACAGCAAATGTTCTGCAATTCTACACAGTTTGTCATGACTAATGCCATGTTAATGGATAAATGTTGTGGGTGGCGGTCGTCGAAGGAGGAGGTCGTCGGGTAAGCTTGGCGTCGGGTAAGCTTGGCTTTATACATAGCTTGGGCTTTGTCGAGTAAGGCTTAAACTATGTATTTAGATTGTAGTTAGGTGTTGTAGGTAGTTATCGTGGGTTGTTGTATGTAATTATTGTAGGTTAGTATTGTATTCGGCTGTGCCGGGTGTAGCACGAAGCTAGCTAGCTAACCCACCACCTGGACTAGCTGGCGAGTAGCTATTAGCAACGGTATAGTTGTTTCACGCCTGAGAGTGCCTGTAATTACGCCAGCTGGCTGCCTACAATAATTACATACAATAATTGCCTACCATTCAGCTGTTTTCTAACCTCATTGTCTGAACCATTAACGTTAGGTAGCAAGTGGCTACTGTGCTTGAAATTTAGCTAGCTTGTTGCTACCTGGATAGCTACTAGTAAACAATAGCTGGAACGACCGAGCGAACAGACGCGAACTGGCTGAGTCAATTCAGTGGCTAGCTTTGCACTTGGCTAGCTAACAGTAGCTGCTAGGGGTAAGTCATAACCTACATTTGTGTTCTTTTTTTTTTTTACATATTGATAGCCCGAGTCGTTCAAGGAATTCGGGACATGGGTGACTAGTTAATGTTAGTTTGGCTCTCTCTGTGTGTTCGTGCCGTGAAAGGAGGGGTTCTTCTTTGTCTGAAAGCAATGGCTAGCTAGTTTGCTAACTATTCTAGCTAACTAACTGGCTGAATAAGTTGACGACGGACTCGCTCAAGCTGTCGGGACTAACCCACAACGTTAGACACGGACACGAACGATCTGCTTGCCTGTTGATACACTGGTGGTTTGTTGTGGCCGGCATGCTAGCTGGCTGTGGCGTCTTATGACGAGGTGCCCGGACGATTTTCACGGAATAATACTGCACCTAGTTAGCTAGCTGAATAAACTAAGTTAGTCTATTCCTAGAAAACACTGAACCGCTGTAGTTTACAACAATTATAGTTTCTGAGGTGGAAGTTGGGAGAGTTATATTTGGGGGTTGTGGTGAGGGAGGCCCCGCTCTCTCCTTTCCCAGATGTTTAGTTCATTTCATTCCGATCTCCTCTGCATTATTGTAGCCATCTGCTGCAGCCTGTCAACTATGCCTCTGCCTATCCCTGTTCTCTCCTCTCCGCACAGGCTACACAAACGCCTCACACCGCGTGGCTGCTGCCTCTCTAACCTGGTGGTCCCTAAACGCACCTCCCACATGGAGTTCCAGGTCTCAGGCAGCCTCTGGAACTGCCGTTCTGCTGCCAACAAGGCAGAGTTCATCTCAGCCTATGCTACCCTCCAGTCCCTCGACTTCTTGGCGCTGACGGAAACATGGATTACCACTGAAAACACTGCTACTCCTGCTGCTCTCTCCTCGTCTGACCATGTGTTCTCGCATACCCCGAGAGCATCTGGTCAGCGGGGTGGTGGCACAGGAATCCTCATCTCTCCCAAGTGGACATTCTCAATTTTTCCCCTGACCCATCTGTCTATCTCCTCATTTGAATTCCATGCTGTCACAGTCACTAGCCCATTTAAGCTTAATATCCTTGTCATCTATCGCCCTCCAGGTTCCCTTGGAGAGTTCATCAATGAGCTTGACGCCTTGATAAGTTCCTTTCCTGAGGATGGCTCACCCCTCACAGTTCTGGGGGATTTCAACCTCCCTACGTCTACATTTGACTCATTTCTCTCTGCCTCCTTCTTTCCACTCCTCTCCTCTTTTGACCTCACCCTCTCACCGTCCCCCCCTACTCACAAGGCAGGCAATACGCTTGACCTCATCTTTACTAGATGCTGTTGTTCTACTAATCTCACTGCAACTCCCCTCCAAGTCTCCGACCACTACTTTGTATCCTTTTCTCTCTCCCTCTCCTCCAACACTACTCACTCTGCCCCTACACAGATGGTAATGCGCCGTCGCAACCTTTGCTCTCTCTCTCCCGCTACTCTCTCCTCTTCCATCCTATCATCTCTTCCCTCCAATCTCCTGATTCTGCCTCCTCAACCCTCCTCTCCTCCCTTTCTGCATCCTTTGACTCTCTATGTCCCCTATCCTCCCGGCCGACTCGGTCCACCCCTCCAGCTCCGTGGCTTGATGACTCATTGCGAGCTCACAGAACAGAGCTCCGGGCAGCTGAGCGGAAATGGAAGAAAACTAGACTCCCTGCGGACCTGGCATCTTTTCACTCCCTCCTCTCTACATTTTCTTCATCTGTTTCTGCTGCTAAGGCCACTTTCTACCACTCTAAATTCCCTAGGAAGCTCTTTGCCACATTCTCCTCCCTGCTGAAGCCTCCCCCCCCATCCTCCCTCTCTGTGGATGACTTCGTCAACCATTTTGAAAAGAAGGTTGACAACATCCGATCCTCGTTTGTTAAGTCAAATGACACTGCTGGTGCTGCTTACACTGCCCTACCCTATGCTTTGACTTCTTTCTCCCCTCTCTCTCCAGATAAAATCTTGCGACTTGTGACGGTAGGCCGCCCAACAACCTGCCCGCTTGACCCTATCCCCTCCTCTCTTCTCCAGACCATCTCCGGTGACCTTCTCCCTTACCTCACCTCGCTGATCAACTCATCCTTGACCGCTGGCTATGTCCCTTCCGTCTTCAAGAGAGCGAGAGTTGCACCCCTTCTCAAAAAACCAACACTCGATCCCTCTGATGTCAACAACTACAGACCAGTATCCCTTCTCTCTTTTCTCTCCAAAACTATTGAGCGTGCCGTCTTTAGCCAACTCTCTTGCTATCTCTCTCAGAATGACCTTCTTGATCCAAACCAGTCAGGTTTCAAGACTGGTCATTCAACTGAGACTGCTCTTCTCTGTGTCACAGAGGCTCTCCGCACTGCTAAAGCTAACTTCTCTCCTCTGCTCTTGTCCTTCTAGACCTGTCTGCTGCCTTTGATACTGTGAACCATCAGATCCTCCTCTCCACCCTCTCCGAGCTGGGCATCTCCGGCGCGGCTCACTCTTGGATTGCGTCCTACCTGACCGGTCGCTCCACCAAGTGGCGTGGCGAGAAGCTGTCTCCGCACCACGTGCTCTCACCACTGGTGTCCCCAGGGCTCAGTTCTAGGCCCTCTCCTATTCTCGCTATACACCAAGTCACTTGGTTCTGTCATATCCTCACATGGCCTCTCCTATCATTGCTACGCTGACGACACACAACTAATCTTCTCCTTTCCCCCTTCTGATAACCAGGTGGCGAATCGCATCTCTGCATGTCTGGCAGACATATCAGTATGGATGACGGATCACCACCTCAAGCTGAACCTTGGCAAGACGGAGCTGCTCTTCCTCCCGGGGAAGGACTGCCTGTTCCATGATCTCGCCATCACGGTTGACAACTCCGTTTTGTCCTCCTCCCAGAGTGCGAAGAGCCTTGGCGTGACCCTGGACAACACCCTGTCGTTCTCCGCTAACATCAAGGCGGTGACCCGATCCTGTAGGTTCATGTTCTACAACATTCGGAGAGTACGACCCTGCCTTACACAGGAAGCGGCACAGGTCCTAATCCAGGCACTTGTCATCTCCCGTCTGGATTACTGCAACTCGCTGTTGGCTGGGCTCCCTGCCTGTGCCATTAAACCCTTACAACTCATCCAGAATGCCGCAGCCCGTCTGGTGTTCAACCATCCCAAGTTCTCTCACGTCACCCCGCTTCTCCGCACACTCCACTGGCTTCCAGTTGAAGCTAGCATCTGCTACAAGACCATGGTGCTTGCCTACGGAGCTGTGAGGGGAACGGCACCTCCGTACCTTCAGGCTCTGATCAGTCCCTACACCCAAACGAGGGCATTGGTTCATCCACCTCTGGCCTGCTGGCTCCCCTACCTCTGCGGAAGCATAGTTCCCGCTCAGCCCAGTCAAAACTGTTCGCTGCTCTGGCACCCCAATGGTGGAACAAGCTCCCTCACGACGCCAGGACAGCGGAGTCACTCACCACCTTCCGGAGACATTTGAAACCCCACCTCTTTAAGGAATACCTGGGATAGGATAAAGTAATCCTTCTACCCCCCCTTACCCCAACCCACCCCCCCCCCCAAAAAAATAAATAAATATATATATATATATTGTAAAGTGGTTATCCCACTGGCTATAAGGTGAATGCACCTATTTGTAAGTCGCTCTGGATAAGAGCGTCTGCTAAATGACGTAAATGTGAATGTTAATGACATCTGAGTGAGAGTGACTCACAAAATCAATGGGGACCCCTTGGAGGTCAGGGAGTGACTGTCAGTGACTGACATAACAGAGACATTGTTGATGCACAATCAAATTTCAAACTTGCAGCTTGTGTATTCTACTATTTTAACTCTCAACAGTACGTTGAGACCCTGACTGAGTTCCAAAAAATATATAAATAAAATCGTCAGGGGCCAGGGGCCGATTATGTCGCTTATGCCTGGAGCCGGCCCTGGTAGGGAGTGGAGAACAGCAGTTTGATCTATGCGATGGGAAAACAAATGACTGCTAAAGCCATAGACCAAGTTCCTGGTTTTACTCTCATGGGTGCCGGCTGTGTAAGGTGATTTACATTTATTTTCTGAATGTTGGCTGTGAAAATGAAATGGTAGGGTATCAGTGGCGGTCGTGACGTTTAAGATGAGAGAGGAAAAAAAACGTTTTTCATGAGCATGGCCTTATTTCTATTACAGCATGTTGGATGACTGTCATTCATATTCCATTCACCTAGTTCAATGTAACAGCGATAAGTTTGGCTACTACATGATACTCAAATGTTCCCTATACCCATCATGAGGTTGCTACAACCTAGCCTATGAATGAAAGTTTACAACGTAGGTACAAACAGGTCGATTTTGTTGTTGTTGAGGCGATAGACAGTGACACATCCAATACCGCCTTGCACACTCTTGCCTGCATCTAGCTGATCTAGGGTGTAATCATTAGTAAAACAATTGCAAACAAGAGTTTCTATTGGACAAATTCAGGTATGTTTATTCCCCGTTTCGTTCTGTTTGCTTCCGTTTAAGAAACGTTTTTCAACAGAATCGGCGGAATTAATACACCCCTAATCACGCGTAAACACAGTTCAATTTCATAGAAGCCACGTTGTATTCCTTCTCACATCTATGCACTCTCCTCCACTCACCTTTGCCCTTCGCTAGTGGACTTCAAATGCACAACACATCAGCTGTATGTGACCAGGCGAAAAAACCTTTCCAAGGCAAACCATGTCATAACCGCTACACACAGCCTACATCGTTGTCACCATATTAGCTAAAGTAACGTCATAGTCAACATAGCTAATAAAACTAACACATTAGTAAGCCCTCTACAATCATGCAGTAACATTACAGTGTACAGTCAGTCAGTAAGCAGTTTAGCACTTACACCGGCGGGCACCGGTGGCAATAAATAAGTAAAACCAAAAGCTTACCTTGATTTGGAAGAATTCCAGTGTTGTGTTGGATAGTCATAGCCAGCTAGCTAACATAGCATCCCTCTTTTTGAGCAGGGTGTTTGAGTAGGCTAAACTAGCTAGCTGCATTTGCTAGCAAAGTAAGTGAAACTGAAAGTGAAAAACAATGATGAAATCTCTCTCTGTCTATCTCTCTCTCTTGCTTCTCCTTCATTTTGGAATGAATGAATTTGTTCAAAACTGTTCAACTATCGTTTTTCTCTCTCTTTGAGTCAACTACTCACCACATTTTATGCACTACAGTGCTAGCTAGCTGTAGCTTATGCTTTCAGTACTAGATTTATTCTCTGATCCTTTGATTGGGTGGACAACATGTCAGTTCATGCTGCAAGAGCACTGATAGGTTGGAGGACGTCCTTCGAAAGTTGTCATAATTACTGTGTAAATCTATGGAAGGGGTGAGAACGATGAGCCTCCTAGGTTTTGTATTGAAGTAAATGTACCCAGAGGAGGACAGAAGCTAGCTGTCCTCCGGCTACACCATTGTGCTACCCTACAGAGTGCTGTTGAGGCTACTGTAGACCATTGCAAAAAAGTGTGTTTTAATACATTATTTGGTGACGTGAGTATATTTAGTATAGTTTTATCTAAAAAATATAACTTTTTAAATGTTTTACAATTTTTATTTTTAGGAAATTCACTGAGGAGGATGGTCCTCCCCTTCCTCCTCTGATAAGCCTCCACTGTAGGGTATATAGAAGGCCAAAAACACAGTGGAAAGATAACATCTTAATTCAATTCAGTATGTGCCCGAGTGGCGCAGTGGTCAAGGCACTGCATGGCAGTGCTAGCTGTGCCACTAGAGATCCTGGTTCGAGTCCAGGCTCTGTCGCAGCCGGCCGCAACCGGGAGACCCATGGGTGGCGCACAATTGGTCCAAGGTAGGGGAGGGTTTGGCCGGCAGGGATGTGGGTTCGTTTCCCACGGGGGGCCAGTATAAAAAAAACCCGTATGCATTCACTAACTGTAAATCGCTCTGTATAAGAGCGTCTGGTAAAATGTAATATTTTCAGTTGCCCTCTACCACGTTTCAGAAGGCATTGTTCAGGTACTTTTCATTCTGCAAGCTCTCATGTTTACCTATTATGATGCTAATTCTTTAGTGGGCTGAAAGAGTGGGACATGTATCTACCTCGGTAGGTTGTATCTACCTCGGTCAAATACACATTTGCTGTAACATGTGCTAATACAAAGGGTATTATACACAGCAGGCAAAACATGGGTTGTGACTTATTTGTATGGTATCCTTTGTGACTGTGAAAAAAACAGGAGAACTACAGGCTTGTGTTGTTTCAATATTAGAACACACAGCCTGAGAGAATTAAAGATAATGTTGGTCAACACTGTATACACACAGTTGGGGGTATTATTTGGATCCTTATAATACATTTCCTTGGCTATAACTACAACTCTCAAGCTCTTCTGAGAGAGGAAATAATGCCACTACCACACCAATTAAGTTACTGCAATCACAGAGACAATGGCTCCAAACCAGACCTACACCACTGCCATGTCAACTTCATCAAACGTCATCGTTGACGGTGGTCTCTCTACGACAAGTCAAAAACTCACAACGCTGTACAGGACATCTCAACAACCACAACAGCACTGCCTGGGAGCTCGAACACATCCACAAACACTGAGTCAACACAATCAACTTTGACCCCTACAGTTAATGCTAAATCTGCAGCCACCACAGTCCCAGGCATAGTCCCCTCCCACTGCACCAACCACCCAAGCAGCCATGACCACTGAAACCTAAACAGTACATCAAATACCCCACCACAACAATCCACTAATAATCTTCCTCGAACCACCAATACCACCACGTCGATGACAACAGCAACACATCATGTGACACAAGGTAAGTGCAGCTGGTTAATAGATATGTCTGTCTTTCAAGATTATGATTTATTATGCAACAAAAATGAATTGTAATTATCATTAACATTTTTCCTGGTTTATTCTACAGGTTTTGGACTAGACACTTCCGAAAAAGGCATGACCATTTTCTTCAGTGTGGTGCAGGTTTGTTTTGAGGATATTTATGTACCTGTTCAATAAGATGCAAACAGGGGAGGCAATACTCACATCCACCTCTCTATAACAACTCTAAGGCCGAAGTTAAGGGAATTCATATATCATGTTTTCATAAAATATTTTATCAATATCCCAAATTGCTATTTACAGTGGGGGAAAAAAGTATTTAGTCAGCCACCAATTGTGCAAGTTCTCCCACTTAAAAAGATGAGAGTCCTGTAATTTTCATCATAGGTACACGTCAACTATGACAGACAAAATGAGGAAAAAAAATCCAGAAAATCACATTGTAGGATTTTTTATGAATTTTTTTGCAAATTATGGTGGAAAATAAGTATTTGGTCAATAACAAAAGTTTTTTTCCCCACTGTATTTTGTCATTCTCACTAAGATGTAGAAATGTTGACAGTGCATGCAGGTCTAATGAGAGCTCTCCCCAGACTATGGGTTCTCAACTTTTCCTTCATTTCAGCCTATTTTTTATGTCAAACCTAGCTTTTTTAACTTCACTTCATCAATTGCAATGTCAAACCTAGCCAACAGGCTTAAAAATATATAATCACTTCATCAATTGCATTGTACTGTACACTGAGTACACCAAACATTAGGAGCACCTTCCTAATATTGAGTTGCATGGACTCTATGTGTCGAAAGCGTTCCACAGGGATGCTGGCCTATGTTGCTTCCCAAAGTCGCGTGAAATTGGCTGGATTTCCTTTGGGTGGTGAACCATTCTTCAACATAAAAACAGCACAAGCAAAACCAACAATGTTACCAACAAACACATTCAATTATTTATGTTGAATGGACTCAAAGGAGGCAAGTTTGGTCAAACCAACAAGCATTTGGCATATTTTGCCATGATTAATGTGAGTAAAGTGGCTAAACAGTAACATCAAAACAAGATAATATACTTGGTTCATTAGAAATTGTTTGACTTGCATTTTAAATTTCTGTTTCGGTCAACAGATTCCGCAGCATCAGACAACTATAGACATGAATGAACTTGAGAGCAGTGGTGTAATGAAAAGAGCATATTGAATCTCCACATTTGTCATACACACAGAAAACAGTCTATCTTGAAAAGCACAGCACTTGCTTCTTTTTTTCTTCTTCTTGTCAGCATCAGCAACAGCTGTCCAACCAGCATCCCGCATCCTTTTCATTGCAGCGAGCTTTAAAGCACTCCCAAGTGATTTCTGAACGGCAGGGCTCTGGATCTGAAACATTACGATAATAAAAACAGGACAAATGAGTGAAGTAGAAGCAAACCAGTGGAATTGATTGTGGAAGTGACTAATAGTGACCTGAAAATTGTAGAACCCCACAGCCTTTAACTACTTTGACAAGTTACAGACTATATTTTAGAAGTTGCAGAGTACAGACTATACTATAACGCAATATGGTATTTCACAATTTATTTCATAATGCATTGCCAAGTAAATCAAGTATTTGGTGGTAATGTAAATTCAGCTGGCTCATTCCTTCCTGAATATGTCCACTTTTTGATGCTGTGCTGCTGGGACAATTGGCTGCAGGCGGCTCTTGAATGGATCAGTTGCAACTGCAAAGCTCTGCCATTATAAGAACCAGAAAGACATCCAAGTTAGAAGATGTGATATTTAAAGCAAAATGATTTCCACAATGGAAATGTGCATGTGCATTGGGAATTGGGTGGTATCTCATAATAAATCCTGAGTTTTAGGCCAATCCAATATTTGTAGCACTATTAAAGTTAAAGCAGTGTGTTCATTAGGTCTTACCATTAAATAATGATGTACAGAGCTGTCAGACTTGGGGTCAAGGTCCAGTGTGCTCTTCCCCCAGGGCACAGACTTCCCAGTGGACGGAGTTCTGATTCTGTAAGACCGTGGAGAAAATCACTCAATCACAGAAAAATAGGATGGAGAGAATCCTCTGGGGTTATGGTTCACATGTCACGGTCGACAAATAAAAACAGTTAATGAATACTAGACATAAAAATCTATCAACATATTCCAACTCCTTAATCCGTGGTGTTGCGTCGGCTGTACTGGGGGAACGCCAATATGGAGATTTGAGGGCTTCGCTTTCCTTTGACACATCAAACATACCAAGTCAGTTAATCTAATACATTCTAGTGATCATACAACATACAGGTCATTGATGATTGAATAGCCTACATTATGAATACAACACACAAAATAATCAACCAATAATCACAAAATCTCTAACTCTAGTCATGGAGTTTTGGGGCTTCACTTTCCAATTCCTTTGACACATCAAAAATATATCAGTTAATCTAAGGTATTATACAGTGATCATGCACAGGGATGTAATGGAGAAACATTTCAGAGAGCTTTTGACTGTAAGATTGCACTCAATAGGCCATAAGGAAACAGGAAAATGCTCATCCAGAGGCAGCGCTCCTAGTGGCTGGGGATTTTAATGCAGGGAAACTTAAATCCGTTCTACCTCATTTCTACCAGCATGTTAAATGTGCAACCAGAGGGGAAAAAAAACTCTAGACCACCTTTACTCCCACACACAGAGACGCGTACAAAGCTCTCCCTCGCCCTCCATTTGGCAAATCTGACCATAACTCTATACTCCTGATTCCTGCTTAAAAGCAAAAACTAAAGCAGGAAGCACCAGTGACTCGGTTAATAAGGAAGTGGTCAGATGACGCAGATGCTAAGCTACAGGACTGTTTCAACACCATAGTACCCTCAAAGCTCATCACTAAGCTAAGGACCCTGGGACTAAAAAAGTTCTACAGCTGCACCATCGAGGAAAACGATGGGGACGAAGCCCAAAACAAACACGTATATATAAAACAAAGGGATGTAACCCAAACAAAAGAGCGAGGTGTAGCCTCTACACAATACACGGGACGAGATCCATAATAACAAGAGCACAATACACGGTACTCACGAGACCAACAGACATGGGGCAACAATCGACAAGGACAATGGGGAACAGAGGGAACATATATACACATACTAATCAGGGGGAATGGGAACCTGGTGTGCGTAATGAGACAAGACAGTCCGGGTTGGTGGGAATGAACCACGTCAGTGACGCCTAGAAAACTGGTGACGTAGACCTCAGGAGCTGGTGGGGACCTCCTCTCAGCAGGGAGGTAAGAGGCGTGACCACCGTGCTGAAGCCCCGGATGAACCTCCGGAAATAGTTGGTGAACCCCAGGAATCGCTGGACTGCATTCATGGAATTGGGGATGGGCCATGACCTGACTGCGCTGACGCGTTGCTCCTCCATCTCCACTCCCTCCGTGGATATGAGGTAGCCCAAAAAGGACACGGGCCACTGGAAAAACAAACATTTCTCTTGTTTAACATAGAGATTATGCTCCAACAGTCTTCCCAGCACAGACCTGACTAACAAGACATGCTGGGCTTGGACAGCAGAATAGACCAAAATGTTGTCTATATAAATCACTACACCCTGTCCCAGCATGTCCCGAAACACTTCGTTACTAAAGACCTGGAAGACTGAAGGAGCATTAGACAGGCCAAAGGGCATTACGAGATACTCATACTCGTAATGCCCAGTGGTCGTGGAAAAGGCTATTTTCCTTTCGTTGCCTGCACGAATGCGCACCAGATTGTAGGCGCTCCTCAAATCCAGTTTCGTGAAGTACTGCACCCTGTGCATTTGTTTGATTATGGTTGGGATGAGGGGTAAAGGATAGCTGAACTTAACGGTGGCTTTGTTCAGTGTTCGATAATCAGTGCAGGGGCGCAGTCCCCCATCTTTCTTCTTAACAGAAAATAAGCTAGAGGAGGCTGGTGACGTAGAGGGGTGGATAAAACCCTGCTGGAGGCTCTCCTGTACGTAGGTCTCCATGGCCTCGGTCTCCGCGTAGGAGAGGGGATAGACGTGTCATCTTGGGAGTACTGCGTCAGACAGAAGGTCAATGGCACAGTCCCAGGGGCGATGAGGAGGCAGGCGTGTAGCCTGGGTCTTAGAGAAAACCCATTCCAGATCCTGGTATTCCTCTGGTAAATCCACTTGAGTGGCATAGTCCGGACTTTCCATCGTAGTGGTGTTGACAGACACTGCGAGACACCTCCGCTGACACTCCTGCGACCAACCCAGATTCCTCCTACGGTCTGACTCGGGCAGAGCCCACCTTCATCGGCTCTGGCCAGGGAGCAGGTGTAGCCATGGGCTCCGGATTCCGCGCAGGTCTTCGTCGGGACCGCAGGAGGTTGTCCAACCGGATCGCCATACTGATGAGCTGGCCGAGTGACAGGTTGTCATCATGGCAGGCTAACTCCATCTGTACCTCCTCCTGCAGTCCACTGCGGAAAACGGTGACCAGAGCCGACTTGTTCCATCCGGTGCTGGCCACGATGGTCCGGAACTCCAGGGCGAACTCCGAGGCAGTCCTAGATCCCTGGCGTAGTCGGAGTAGACGCTCACCCTCCTCTCTGCCCTCCACAGGATGATCAAACACCGAGCGGAAGAGGAGGGTGAAGCTCTCATAGGACTCGACCTCAGGTCTGCCCATTTCCCAGACTGCGGCACCCCAGTCCAGGGCTCTTCCGGTCAGTGCCGAGATGACTGTGGCAAACCCTTTCTCTCCCGGAGACAACCTCGGCGTAGCGCGCGAGCTACAGGTCGCATTGCAGAAGGAATCCTTTGCATGTCGCTGGCGCGCCGTCAAAGCGCTCCGGGAGGGACAGGGGTATTCTGCGAACCGGCACAGATGG